ACCATCTTCACAATGGGCTTCACTGCCCATTGTTGTAGCCACTGTGTCAGGTATCTTATTGGGGGTCCTGCTCTTTTTTGCTGACCCTCTACATTACCAAGCATGGCCCCTCCTGATAACATGTCCAAAGTACGTGAGATGAAGTCTCACCATCTTCGTTTCTAAGTTTCATATTTCTTTCAAGACAGATTTGTTCATCCTTCTGGCAGTCTACTGTATAGTTAATGTCCTTTGTGGGCACCTTAGTTCACATGCAGCAGTTCTTCAGTCTTCCTTATTCATTGTCCAACTTTTGCATATAGTAAGCTCATTAAATAAGATAATTGAGGCAGCAAGAAATAAGGAGCAGCTCAAGGCCCCTAGGAAATTAGGAGAAAGGGCAACGTCCCCAGGCCATGAATGTGATGGGGTCATGGATTGGCCTGTCGTGTTCTCCAGTGGTACTTGCGGCTCCTGGCCTTGGTGCCGGTGCACAACTTAATGTGTATGGTCGAGCATCAAAAAGTTCTTGGAGAAATGGAATGAAAAGACACTGGACTTTTTCCATGAACTTTTTGAAGCCCCCTTGATTTGTCAAATGTATGGATGAGCCAGTGAAAGACCATCCAAGGGTTCCAACTCCCCCAAATAAAAGCTTCCAGAAGGAAGGGTTGAGCAGAGGTACAGACAGATAGGAGGAGGCTGGAAGAAATCATTACTGGAAGAGAAAGGGGGTCCTTCTGGTCAAAGGTGCCCCTTCTCTCCACTGCCAGACCCTCTCTCCTGGGTAAGCAAAGAGGGACAAGGTGGGAGAATTTCAGTGCTAAGGGGCAAATCCCCAAAAGTTGTACTAATATATTTAAAACTGTATTAAAAACATATGTAGAAAAAAGCAAGGAGAAAAATTCACCCGACTGTTTTGAGAGTTTTCTCAGGAGGTTTTAACACCAGGGATTGCATGGCCTTTGTTACAGATTTCTATAATGATGAAATTCCTTTTAACCAGTGTGTACTTCAGGTCATCAGAAAATCTTAAATGTTAAAAGAGGAAATGACTTGTTAATTTTTTTCCTTCTTACTGCATGCTTGTTCCAACAGGAGGGGTACCTGTCCCATAGGCTGAACCTATTTCTGATAGCTTCAAATTATGGGTGAGAATAAAGGTTGCTGGTTACTAAGGAAACAGTTATAGGCAAATGGCACAGATGGTGGGTGACTGTGGGGTTTCCCTGCCAGTTTGTGTCCCCTTCTTCTGTTGATAAAATCAAACCAGTTCTGATTGAGCCAATTCTGACTCCTGGCGGTTTCATGTGTGTCAGAGTAGGACTGTGCTCCGTAGGACTTTTATTTGGAGGGTAGATCACTAGGCATTGTTTCTGAGTTGCCTCTGGGTGGACTTGACTCTCCAACCTTCTGATTTACAATCGTGTAACTCCTTTTCTGTTAATGTTGTTGTTGGGTTGGTTCCAACTCACAGTGGCCCTGTATTGGGTTTCCAAGGAGCAGCTGGTAGATTTAAACCACCAACCTTGTGGTAAGCAGTTCAGTGCTTATCCTATAGTGCCACACTAGGACTCTTCTGTTAATAGCACCCTGAAATACCATCTCACCAGAGCTAGAGGACTGAGTGAACATGTGACTCAGGTCTGGCCAATGCGAAGATTCTGTTTTCAGAGCCACAATGATTGGCTTAGGGGTGGGCACTTGACCACTAGTCCACTGAGATTCAGTCTAGGGCCTTTTGTTGTAAGTGACAGAGAAAGATGCTCCCTTTCCACTGAAATGGTAGTAAGTTGCTTCTGAGACTGCCTGAGAATGAAGATTGTGGACAGATAGGTAGCTAGCTAGCTAGATAGAGGATAGATAGGTAGAGAGATAAACAGGCAGCCAGATGATAGATAGGTAGGTAGGTAGATAGGTAGGTAGGTAGATAGGTAGGTAGGTAGATAGGTAGGTAGGTAGATAGGTAGGTAGATAGATAGATAGATAGATAGATAGATAGATAGATAGATAGATAGATAGATAGGTAGATAGATAGATAGAGTAGGATCTGACAAACACTGAGCCCCTGGATCTAGCTATTCTTGAAGTCAGTTCCCTTGTAATTTTCCATGACATGAGCCAATAAATTCCTGGCTTGGGTCAGTTTGAACTGGGTATTGTCTTTCCTGTGATCAAACATCTTGTTGGCCATCAGAGCCAGGTAAGTAAGTCAAAAGTCTTGGGAGACCATTCAGCTCACCTGGGTTCATCCAGGGATTTGACAGTTTGTGTTCAGAAGAGGAGAAAGTTCCTAGGCTCCCACTCATTCTCCTACCCCCACCATTAACCACCATCGACATCACTTACTCAAGCCTCTTCAGCCTGCACTTCCCCTCAAGGGTCCTCAGCAGCTCCTTACCACACTGATTGTTAGACAAGCTGGAAGGGACCAAGCACAAGGGTGGGTTAGATGAGCCTCCCAGCCCCTGCAGCTGAGCTGTCTCCTCAGGCTCCTTAGCCCCGCCCACTTCCTAGAAGGCTGGCTCTGATGGAACACACTTCCTGTCCCAAGGGTCAGGCTCTAGGGTCACGGGGCTCTGGGGTCATAGGGCCAGCTCTTGGTTTCTGAAATGAGGGTTGTAGATAAGAAAGTTGGGGACGAGGTTAACATGCATGTAAGCACACACTTATCCTTTAGTCTTCTCAGCACCTCAGCACCCACAGGTGCCCTAGGCAAAGCAAAAGTTATGAGCTCCAAATACAGAAGAGGGGATCAAAGCCCTAAGAAGATTTGTTCCTTGTCTGCAGTCACTCTGTGAGTCAGTGGCAAGGCTGAGACCCAGAATACAGGGCTCAGCCGTTCCCAGGCCCCACCCAGACTTACCGGACTTGAGTGTGAAGAGCATAGGCTAGAGTTCTACAGCCCACCTTAACCAAGAGCAAACTCCCTTTCCATCCCTGCCCAAATGCAGGACCACCCCTCTGCAGGACCCTCAACCCTGTAACTCACTCCAGCTCCTCTAGGTCTTGACAGTAGCTCAGTCCAGATGCCAGGTGGGTGAAACCCTCCACACTCACACAACTGGTCAGCCTGGTGGGGTCAAAGGGCAAAAGGTCAAGCAGGAGCTCTAAATGTTGGCAGCAGAGGGCCAGGACACAGGGCAGGGGTGTGGCTCCTGAGGGTACTGTGCAATGGCCCCTCTTCTCTTCATGAATCTCTCTCACCATGAACTCCTCAGGCTAAGATATAGCCTGGAGTCAGGAACATAGACAAGTTGGATACGATGAAGTTTCAAAAAGTTTCTGGAAAACTCATTCCATTTTCCACAAACTTTTTGAAGTGCCCTTTGCCCCTACACTTCCCTAAACCACTGTCATTCAGGTAGAGCCTTCAGAATTTATGCCATGGTTGGTTATTACAGAATTGTCATTTAGCTTATCATAGAGGCTAAATAAAAAAATTCCAATGAAAATAAAATGTTTTAAAGTGTAGCTAGTTACTGTCATTTGCTGTAAGAGCTACCTGCTTTAAAAGAGAAGTAAAAGTTGGAAAAGTTCCGTTTTGTACCTAATCATACCAATAACTGATTCAGGCAAGAATTATCAATGGATGAATGCATGAGGAGAATCAGGATATTTACATAGTCTCAGCACATCTCCCCACAAGGCTTGTTAATTACAAAGGGAAGCATAGTAACTTCCCAGGAAACCTGGCTGGCATCCTCTGAATCAGGTGATCCCAGGTAACATCACCAGTGGTGGGGCAAATAGGCATCAGGTATCTCATGATACAAGGCACCAAGGAGGACACAACATCACTTCTGTGATGCTCCCATTGCAAATTCAGACTTTGAGTTTCAGCATGAGGAGACATCAGACAAAACCAAGTTGAAGAGCATTCTATAGAATAACTGGTTTATACAGGTCAGGGCCAAGGTCATGCTAGAGAAAGAAAGGCGGAGGAACAGTTCTAGATTGCAGGAGACTAAAGCGACATGGCAACAGAATGCAGAGTGGGATCTGGGACTGATCTAGGACTAGACAACACAATGCAGTAAATAACATCTGAACTAAAGCTTAGATCGGGGTGGAGAAAGTCCAGCCCAAGGGCTGTATGTTGTTGCTGTTAAATGCCATTGAGTTGGTTCTGACCCATAGCGACCCTGTATAGGGTTTCCAAGGAGCAACTGGTGAGCTTGAACCACCAACCTTGCAGTTTAAATGGCTTTGCAGTCTGGCACATTAACCCACAGTGCCATACCAGGACTCCAAGGGCTGTATAACATCTGAGGAATCATTTGGTCTGGTCCTGCCAAGGCAACCGCAGTTCCAGCCATCACATTGTTGCTGTTGTTGTTAAGTGCCATCAAGTTGGTTCTGACCCATAGTGGCCCTGTATAGGGTTTCTGAGGAGCGGCTGGTGAGCTTGAACCACCGATCTTGAGGTTCAAACCAACTTTGCAGTTCAGCACATTAACCAGTAGCACCACACCAGGATTCCTGCCATTACATTGGTGGTGGTGATGGTGTGCTGTGGAGTCGGTTCCAACTCACAGTGACCCTGCATAGGGTTGCAGAGGCTGTAAATTTTTACGGGATCAGAAAACCTCATCTTTCTCCCGTGGAACAGCTGGCAGCTTTAAGCTGCTTACCGTGAGGTTAGCAGCCAGATTCGTAACCACTACGCTACCAGAGCTCCTTTGACCAAATCTAGTAGGCTAATTTTTAAGTTGATAATTTTGTATGGTCAGTAAATGATAAAATTTTGGCAGGAAAAAGGTTCCCCTAGTCCTGGTGTGGCACTGTGAGTTAATGCACCAGACTGCAAAGCCGTTTGAATTGCAAGATTGGTGGGTTCAAGCCCACCAGCTACTCCTAGGAAACCCTGTACAGGGTCACTATGGGTTGGAATCGACTCGACAGCACTTAACAAAAACAACAACAACAAATCCTGGTTTAGCTAATAGTATCAATGTCAAATTTCCTGATTTATAACTATACTAGATTATGGAAGACTAAGGCCTTGTTCTTAGGAAATATACTGAACTGTGAAGGAGTAAGGGGCATGACATATGCAGTTCACTGTCAGATGGTTCTGAAAGAAAGAGGAGAGAGAAAATGGAGTGAGAAGAGAGGAAGAGAAAGCAGGAGGGAGGGAAGAAGAGAGAGAAAAATAAAGTAATTGTGAGAAAACATTGACAAAAGGTGAATTGTTGTTAAGTGCTGTCGAGTCGATTCTGACCCATAGCGACCTTGTATAGGGTTTCCAAGGAGCAGCTGGTGAGCTTGAACCACCAACTTTGCAGTTCAAACAACTTTGCGCTCTGACACATTAGTGCACGGTGCCACACCAAAGGGTGAATTAGGTGAATGGTATATGGACATTCTTCATAGTCTTGTACTTTTTCTATTAGTTTTCAATTATTCAAAAAAAAACAAAAAGTGAAAAAATAAATAAAGGGGTGGGGAAAGAAAAGAAAGAGCTTTGAAAGGGAGCATCTTTCTTGCCATGTGACTCTGTGTTACTAAAGCCTTAACATCTCCAGGACCACCTGTGTCCAGTCGGCAGGGTGGAGACCTAGAATTCCTCTGAGGTGTAGGGGTGGGCGGAGCTGTGAGGGGACATGTGTCCTGTCTGCTTACCGGAATTTCTTCAGCGTTGAGAGGGACATCAGGAAGTTGTGTAGCACCTGGGAGCTGGCATCACAAAGGTGAACCTGGGACAAGCTGAAAAGACCCATGCATAGTTTAGAAGATTGTACGGTCATCACAGGAGGAGCTCCAGAGAGAGGGCAAGACCATCCAGGGGACCACTGAGGAGTAACCAGCAGGCAGGGCTCCCTATGCCTTCTTGGGACTCTTTCCCCAACTGCCCAGGTGCGGTTCTATCCTGCTTAGGGAATGCCCAAATCAAGCACTGCCCCTGCCTCACCTAGCAGGCTCTACCTGTCTCCATCCTGACCAATCAGAGAACTCAGGGCCCGAGACCAGAGCTGGGAGGCCAAGCATACAACCAGTACTGACCTGAGCTGCCGCAATCTGGCACATGTCTTCATCATCTGTCTGAGAAGACTGTGGTAGCTTCCCAGGTCACAGTCACTCAGCCTAGGGACAGACAGTAGGTGGCAGCTCTGAGGACCAGCGACTCAGTCTCTGCTCACATGGAGCATATGATGTGAGGGTAATGAAAAGCCAATCAAATAAAGTCGCAGTAATTGTTATTCAATTATAAGAAATGCCATGGAGGAGGAATCCAGGTTGGGCGACTGATACAGTTGTGCATGTTGTTCACTGAACAAGGGCACCCAGCTGAGGACATGGTCCAGCCATGCTTTGCTTCCCAAAACATAGACCTGTAGGACTGCATCTACCCAAAGGGGGTGACTTATTCTAGTTTCCAAAAATATATGGACTAGCGATGTTGTGAAGTCAAGCATCTCTTAGAGAGGTGACAGGAGGACTGGACTCAGGCTTGGAGTTCTGGGCTCCAGGAAGCCATACTGCGGTGGTGACATTTATGCTGAAACCTGAGCGACATTTATGCTGAAACCTGAGCCAGGTGAAGGATGAGGAAGGGGTTGAGGGCATTCTGAGTAGAGGGTTGCTCTGCCTGCACAAAGACCCTGAGGGCAAAGGGATCAAGGTGCGGACTTTGAGGAGCTGCAGGATAATGTACTGGACTACAAGGTCAGTTTGAACCACAAGGTCAGAGGTTCAAACCTACCAGCCACTCCTCGGAAACCCTATACAGGGTTGCAATGGGTCAAAAGGCACTTAACAACAACAACAAGGAGAAGGGAGGAGTAGAGACTGGGGTTTGGGGTATGAATAGAGAACACGAAGAGGCAGGTTGGGGCTGACCTCACAGGACAGGCAGACACTTATGGCATCAAAGGGTCCTGAGCAGGCATGAGGAATACTGGTCAGAAGCAGTGGGGATTGACTCCAGCCACCCCCCTGGGCTCCCAGGTGCTGGTCCCCACCTGAGGGTTGCGGCCTCTGGGTTCTCCTCCTGACGTGGGAATTCCAGCTGGACACAGAGTTGCTGCTGGGTCTTAGAGATGCTGGGGAGGGAAGGTAGGAGGGGGTACCAGCGTGAGGCCCACAGCAGCTTCTCCTCCAAGGCTGAGCTGGTGAGGGGGCTGCCTGGTCTCCCAACTCAGAGTAACCAGACCCAAACTGGGGTCCCCTCTTCCCCTCTAGGACCCAGCTTCAGAGTGAGAAAGCAGGTACTTCTCTGGGTCACATACACAAAAATGGGGCCTTTTCAACCATTTTAAGTGAATGTGGTACTATAGGATAAGCACTGGACCACAGGATCTGTTTGAACCACAAAGTTGGCAGTTCAAACTCATCAGTCACTCCTCGGAAACATAATACAAGGTCACTATGAGTCGGAATTTAACAACAACATGAATGAGGACCACAATGGAGACCCATTACAGAAATTCCAGGGAAGTTCCAAAATTAACCGAGGGAAGGCTCAGGGGCCCTGAGAGGCTGTATCTGCAATTTGCTTCATGGCCTTTAGTTGAGCATTAAGTTTATAGGGTGAGGGGGTGGTCTTTGGGGAAAGGGATGAGGAAGATTCTGGGTGGTGTCTAGAGTCCTCCCAGACCATTCCTTGGTCACTCCTGGAGGGAAGAGGATAGGAGAGGGTGGGCTGTTTCAGGAAGAGCAGCTCTTCAGAGATCTTCTCAGGCTTTAGCGCATGTGCCCCTCACTCAGCCCCACCTTTCTCTGATCAGAAGGTTAAGGTCGGAAAAGCTCAGAAAGGACTAGGGCCAACAAGTGGCTCTGTTGGGATCTGAAAATAGGTCAATGAGATGCCAAAGCCTTTGTTCTTTGCCACTCCATGTCATTCTGCCACCTCTGATGACAAAGTCACAGCATGGGTGACTGTCACCCAGGGGACACTGCCAGGGCAGACAGCCTGGAGTCCCAGGATATGATAAATTTTGTCAAGAATCTCAGGTTGCTCCTCTCTGCAGCAATGTGGCTGGGCTGTGGCACAAGCATGCCATCTTGGGGACAATGTCTGGCTGAGGGCAGATCCCAAGGTCATGAATAGATGGAGATTCTGAGGATACCTCCTTCCTGGACTCACCTTATTTTGGTGACGTTGCCTGAGGCCTGGGCAATGGCTCTCAGCAGGGCCAGCACCCCGACTGTGCACACCCATGTCTCTTCCACCCTGCCACGAAAGCAGACACAGACAGAGTTTCCCAGGGCGGGCAGCATCTACCCAGCAGGGGCAGGGTAGGGATGGGACAGGGACAGGGACAGGGGAGCAAAGACAAGTGTCAAGAAGGACCTTCAGGCTTTTAGTTTTTTGCTAATTTTTAAAAGTATAGCATTACTAAACAAGGCATAGACAAAAAAAAGAAAAATTAGCATCATCCTCAGTCCAACAATGAGTATTGCAACAATCCAAAGAGAAAATACAAATTTTGAAAATGATCCTTTTAGACTTAAGAAAAGGTTCACATGGTTTTACATTACAAAGAGAAATAAGCAATAATTTATACAAAGCATGGAGTCCTGGTGTGGTACCGGAGGATTAAGCACAGTTTGAATCTGAAAGTCAGCAGTTCAAACACACCAGTCGCTCCTTGAAAACTCTGTACAAGGTCCCTGTGCGTCGGAATCGACTCCCTTGTGCTTAACAACAACAACTCATTTTCTTAGGTATTTTAGTGGAGGTTATTTAGAAAATCTTATATTTTTAGTGATTCATGTTGAAATATTTAGGGGTTAAATAGCATGTCTAGAACTCACTTCAAAAGACATCTGCCAAAAACATGAAGCAAATACTGAAAAGTATTTGCTGTTGTTAAGTTCTGTCAAGTCGGTTCCAACTCATAGCAATGCTGTATAGTGTTTCCAAGCTTGAAATGCCAACCTTGTGGTTCAAACCGACCTGACAGTCCAGCGCATTAACCCACAGGACCACACTGGAACTGCTTTTCTGAACGTAGTATTTTTCTGAGTGTTTGAAAAAGTATCACAATCAACAAACAAACATGCTATTTTTGCCTTCAGTTGAGTATCCTTTGAAGTTTTTTATCTTAAATCCCGAAGCACAAGCCTTACCCCAGGGAAGGCTTCTCTGCATCTTGGAGAGGTTCTGGGACAGAAGGGTAGGTCTGCTCTAGGTCCGGGTGACAGGAAATGACCAGGGCTGTGACCCCCCCATTCATACTACACTCACACACATCCCCAGGCAGGGAGGAGGAGGAAGATGGTACCTGAGACGGAGTAGCCCTGCTGGCCGCCTCACTTGGCTCAGGAGGACGGTTAGTTTTACCAGGTCCACGTCACATCGGGTCAGCCTGGGGAAAGAGTTCAGTTAGTGGTTGCCTCTAACAAGATGCCCCACCCCTCGGCTGTCCCCACAGACTGGACTTGGCCACTCACCTGAGATCCGTCAGTTGGGGAGCCTGGCTAAGGCCAGCGGCCAGTCTGGGCATGTGCTCTGGCCTGAAGCTGCACTCACTCAGTCTGAGGGCAAGAAGGCAAGGGTCAAGCTGAGGCTATAGCCTCCTCCAAGTCCCCCAAGGCCTATAGGGGACACCCTCACTAAGTGCAAAGGCCAGGACCAGCATCTAAGAAGAAGAGGTAGATTCGCTTTCCTGTCCTAGGAGCTTCCCGTCTCTTTGGGGGGACCCCAACCCCCAGGTAATGTGGGGAGTAAGCTACTCACTGGCCTGTTGTGGGGCACAGAGAGAGGAGTGGGACGCGCATGCCTTACATGTCTCACAGATGGAGGAGACACTGACTAACCCAAGGTCACATGACTGGTAAGAAGTAAAGGTGAAATTGGGATTCAATCAGACACCAAATCCTTAATCACTGCCCAACTCTGGCCAGCATGGGAGTATTTGAGGCTGCCTTGAGAGGGAGGGAAGGCCAAGGGGCTCAACTATGGCCCTGGTCTCTAGGTGCCCCCAGACTACTGACTTATCCAGCTGAAAAGAAGGCCCAGCAGGATGCCACAGGGGTGTCCACTGTGATGGGGCAGGGGGCTACTGACACTTTCAGGAGGAGCTGACATTTGAGCTGGATCTTAAGGGACTGGAAAAGGAAGACAGTCCCACAGGTAGGGGAGTTTGGTAGGTATGGAATGTTCTTGGAATAACAGCTGGTCCAAGTCTCTTGTGGAGTCACTGAAAGGCTTGGAGCAGTGGAACGACATAATCAGACGAGTGAGCCGTGAATGGACCTGAAGATGCCTGGTCAGACACAGATCAGTTACGAGGAACTATAGAGGAAGTGACCCCAGGAAGTTAGGCTGAGACAGGGGAGGCGAGTCCAGGGATTCCAGGGAGAGGTGGTGAGGGTGTTGGTAATAATGGATCCATCACTCAAATGAACCAGGACTGTTCCAAGCATCATTTGATCCCAAAGAGATAGGGCCTCTTATTACCCCTATGTGACAAATGAGGAGCTGAGACACAGAGATGTTAAGTAACTTGTCCAAAGTCATGTAACTGGTAAGTGGTAGGTAGATGTCCCCCAGGTGGTTCCAGAATCTGTGCTCTTAAACTCCAACACTGCGAAGCCTGAGATTTCTAGTTAGGACATGGCTACGAGGCACAAGGACAGTAGGAAAACCTCTGGCTGGGATGTGGGGACTTGGGGGACAGATGAGCCCAGGAAACATATAGAAAGGGGGAGTGGGTGGGACAAAGAAGCAGGCAGGGAGACCCCTCTCCCCATTCTCTACCCTCAGCCCAGACCAGGGTTACCTCAGTGTCTTCCCAGTCTCCTCCTGCCTGGAGAAGTGAATCCAAAAGTTCTGTTCAGACCCCAAGCTGCAGAGAGAGATGAAAGCCAGTGTCCTAAGACCCAGGGACCAATGGGGCCCAGAGAGGAAAGAGGAGCTGGCCCACAGGAACAAAAGAACAGGAAGAAAAGGCCCATGCCGACCAGAGGAGAACCCCAAACTCATTCCAGGAGCATGCTTAAATCTGGCCTGCCCCACCCATGGCCTCCGGATATCAGGGAGTCATGGAAATTATGGCCCCACATTCAGTGAATCTACCCTGAGGCTGGGAGAGTGGCCAGGGCGCCCCTATCACATAGACAGGGCTGTCCAGTGTGTGAGTCTTGCTCCCCCACTACACACAAGAGCAATAACATCTCCTTACTTCACAGAGGCCTCCTGGGCACCTGGGCAGGAGGGGAGGGTCTCCACCAGGTGCAGAGCACTCTCCAGAGAGACGCTGTTGTGACTCAGACTAGAAGAGACAAGATGTTCAGCTCTGGGGGGTGCATGCAGGACTGGATAGAGTCCAGCCCAATCCCCCCTTGCTTCCAGCTGTCAGATCTGACAGGCCTGAGAGTCCAAGTCTATGCTGCAGATGGAGACACTGAAGACCAGAGAGTGGCTTTGTAGGGCCCTATCCCCATGGGCAGCATGGCACCAGATACTGGGGTGTGGTTGGGGGCAGGGTATTGAGGGACCAGCTGGTAGCTTCACCCTCATGTGGGTCAGAGACCCCCAGAGTTTAAACCTCAGTTGCCTAGCAACTGAGATTGTATCCTTGCTCTGGTGAGAGTGTGGATGACTTCTAGGGACCTTATTTACTATAGGGACACATATCCAAATGCCGTGTCTCATAATTCAGGTCAGAGAAACTTCAGGAGTGGGATGGACCAGGATCTGAGGCAGATGAAATCCCAAGGATGAGGAATTTTCCATACCCTGTCTCAGGGCTGAGCTTCACTGGGAGAGGTTACATGCAGGGGAAGGTCCTACTGGGACAAAATCAGAAACACCCTTTCCCCACCCATGTCCTTGTCCTCTGGAGTTCTCTAGGGATACTCTCAAAAGAGGCCTGCTAATGCTATTGGCCCAGGGGAGTTTTCTTCCTTGCTGTCTTCAAGATTATTCCGCACTTACTCAAGTGAACCGGAGATGGGCACCTGAGACAGACATTCCAGGAGGCTCCTGAGCCCATCATCACCCAGTGCGTTTGCTGAGAGGCTGCAAGAGGTAAGAAGAAGCTGGTTGGTGATCAGACATGCTTCTTCACTCTCTGCTTCCTCCTTTCTGGTACCAGCTCCACTGTTCTACCATCACTGCCACCACCCAAAGTATCTCAAAATCACCATCATCACCACTCCAACCATCACCACCACTACTACTCAACATGATCATGCCCAAAACCACCACCACAAACGTCACCAGCACCACCAACTTGGCGTCACCATGCTCATTATCACCACCACCATGACCTCCACCACCACCTTCAAAAAAGCAGCTCCTGTATTTCCCATTTCTGTGCCCCTCCTCAGCATTACACTCAACCAGTCCTTATCTTCCCCTTCAACATCTGCTGACCATTCCAGCAGGCTTTTAGGAGTTAAGAGAAAAAACAGTTGGCTTTGACCCTGCCTGCAGCTGGTATAAGCTGGGAGCCACAATTTCTGAATAAGAGTAAATTCGGGGGAAAATACAAATGTTTGGAGGATTCATTTAACAAACAGATTTCTTCTATTATCTTGGGAATGCAATATTGGAAATGGAACTTGAACACTTTCTTATTTCCCATTCTTACAGTGTTCTGTGGCTTTTACTACAGTTTGAAAAACAAACACCTAGGGTGCTCTGGAATATCTGATTTTAGTTCTACACTTTCTCAAACTAATTTTGTCTTTGATTATTGTAATTTGAAGTTTGTTTCACTTCACTTACTTATTTTACAGGTGCTGCTGGGTAGATTCCAACCTTTTTTTAAGGTAACCATATTTATTAACTAAAGATATGAAAGTTGTTGCATTTGTAATTTTGAAAGCATTCCAGTATAAAAGGACAAATATTTCTAAAGTTTATTTAAAAAGAATTTACCACTTAGACTAACAAGCCACGCAGACCAGTTCTCTGCTGTTCAATTTAGCTGTGGGTAGCAGAAACATTTACTTTCTCTATGTTGCCAGATTATTTATATGAGCTTCACACTAAAGAATATCCAGCTTGATGCCTTATTTCTGTGTGGAATCTCCTTTGAAAGAAACATTCCAGTAGTGTAGTGGTTACAAATTGGGCTGCGAACCGCAAGGTCAGCAGTTCAAAACTACCAGCTGTTCCACGGGAGAAAGAGGAGGCTTTCTGCTCCCATAAAGATTTCCAGCCTCGGAAACCCTGTACAGGGTTGCTATGAGTCGGAACCAACTCCACGGCACATAACAACAACAACAACAACAACCTCTCATCAGACCCACACCCAAACCAAAGTCCAAATGCAATGCTACTTCCTTTCTTAGGACATGTTAATTGGATTTCTTCTCCAAGAAGGAGGAATGAGATCGTGAGAGGAAAAGAAAGCCACGAATGAAAATTATTTGAAAGTTTACATTGTGGGTGGGAAAGAAGGTAACATTTTGAAACCACTACTAAAATGTATTGGAAGAAGTGCAGCCAGAGCGCCCCCTGGAGGCCAGGATGACCAAACGTCATCTCTTATACTTCGGACATATTGTCAGGAGGGACCAGTCGCTGGAGAAAGGTATCATGTTTGGTAGGGTGGAGGGTCAGAGAAAAAGAGGAAGACTCTCAATGAGATGGATTGGCCAAGTGGCAGTATCAATGGGCTCAAGTGTGGCAACAGTAGTGAGGTTGGCCCAGGATCGGGCAGTGTTTTGTTCTGTTGTGCATAGGGTCGCTATGAGTTGGTACCAACTCGATGGCACCTAACAACAACAACTAAATGTGAGTGCTTTCACATGTATGTTATAATTGGATTGTCATTGGATCCCAACCTTTTGATTCATAGCTGAGCATACCCCTTTTTGCCACCCAAGGAAATGTGTCTATGAGTACTGGTGTGGTGCTGCAGGATAAGCACTGGACTGCTAACTACAGTTCAAAGTCACCAGCCGCTCCTTGGAAACGCTATGAGTTGGAATCGATTCTACAGCACTTAACAACATCTATGTGTACCTCTATCTATATAAGGAGCCCTGGTTGCAGAGTGGGGAAAGAATTGGTCTGCTAACTACCAGGTCGGGAGAAAGACCAGGCTATCTGCTCCTGTAAAGATTTACCATCTCGGGAACCTGTAGAGCAGCTCTGTCCTATTGGATCGTGATGAGTCAGCATTGGCTCATCAGCACTGGGTTTATACCGACCGATATCCACACCATTGCCAACTCTTGGTAACCCCCTGTGGATCAGAGTAAACAAATTCCATGGGCTTTTCAATGGCTATAATCTTACAGAAGTCAGGCACCAGGACTTTCTTTCAAGGTACCACTGGGTGGATTCAAAGTGCCAATTTTGTGGGTTGTAATCAAGTGTGGAGGGAGGAGCTCTGGTAGCGGAGTGGTTATGAATTGGGCTGTGAACCACAAGGTCAGCAGTTCGAAACTATCAGCTGTTCCGTGGGACAAAGACGAGGTGTTCTGCTCCTGTAAAGATTTACAGCCTCAGGAACCTTGTACGGGGTCGCTATGAGTCAGAACCGACTCCAAGGCACACAGCCAAGTCAGCCAAGCCAATCAAGTGTGGCACTGTGGGTTAATGTTCCAGACTGCAAAGCCGTTTGGACTGCAAGGTTGGCAGTTCAAACTTACCAGCTACTCCTCGGAAACCCTATACAGGGTCTCTATGAGCTGGAATTGACTCGATGGCACTTAACAACAACAACAATCAAGTGTAAACTGTTGGTGCCACCCAAGGAAATAAATACAATACAGTCATGCATCACATAATGTCTGTTCAGGCAACGTCCAAATGTATATACATCCATGCTCCCTGAAGGTTATAATGTTGTTAAGTGCTGTCAAGTCGGTTTTGACTCATAGAAACCCTGTATAGGATTTCTGAAGAGAGGCTGGTGGATTTAAACTGCTGACCTTGTGATTCAAAGCAAACTTGTGGTCCAGTGCATTATCCTGCAGTACCACACCAGGACCTCATAAGATTATAATGTTGTTGTTGAGTGCCATTGAGTCAATTCTGATTCATAGCAACTATCTAAATTGTTTCTGAGGAGTGGCTAGTGGGTTTGAACTGCTGACCTTGTGGTAGTAGTCAGGTGTTTATCCTACAGTGCTACAACAGGACTCCCACGGTTATAATAGAGGTCAGAAATCCTGACTGGAGAATGGGATGTAACAAATCCAAGAGCACCCCCCTTGCAACACGTGCATCTGATGTCTTGTATACAAAGCGATAGTGCTGCTAAGTAATGCACACGTGACCTATGATACATCTTGATAGTTGTAATAGATGCTATGTTACTGGCTTATGTACTACACACTGCACTCTGGTTTCTATCTACTGTGTATGACCCACAAGCCAAAGCATCAGTCTCATGGATTGTGCACTTCTTGGATATTATATTCCAAAAATCTTATCATGAAGTGCCTCTCTCTCTCAAATGCGGTAGAACCATTTGGAAATGAAACCAAGCATGATTAAACATGAAGGTGGATTGTTAAACATCCATGAATACTATAGTTGCTCACGATTTAGGCAATCATACTTGTCAATAGTGATGGTCCTCAAAAACAAAGAAAAAAATTCTCCAAGCTGTTAAAGGATCGGCTTCATTGAAAGCTACAAGGCTAGTGAAAATGGGAGCAGGACCTAGATCAGATTCGGAGACATGGCTCATGATGTGGACTGAGGACCAAACACAAAGTGATGCCCTCTCAGCATGTTGCCATCACAGCTAGGGCATGAAGGTTGTTCGAGATGCTTGAAGAAAAGGAGAGGCCAGATTACGATATAGTGTTTGCCCAGCGTCCACTACTGCACAATCTCCAAATCTCATAACGTCCCATTTCACAGGATGAATCATGGATGTTAAGGAATGTATAACTGCATTCTTTTTCCGAACCGCTCTCTTTGTTTCCTGCTGGCCCTACGCTAGATTCCTAATGGTTCTGAGCAAAAACTCTGACTTACACTCGCTCTGTGCTCCATTTCCCCATGTGAAAAATGAGTACCTACAGTTGTTGGAAGTCTTGGTGGCACTATGATTAGGTACTCAATTGCTAACCGAAAGGTTGGCATTTTGAATCCGCCCAGGGCTCTGTGGAAGAAAGACCTGGCCATCTGCTTCTGTAAAGATTACAGCCACGTTCTTTCATCGGGGCAGTTGGACTGTGTCACATGGCATCACTGTGAGTCGGAATCAGCGTGATGGCAACAACAACAAGGATTGTAGGAAAGAGAAAAAGAGTCTGGCAGGGGGAAAGTGCTCGGTCAGCGTCAGTGTTAGCTATTGCTGTACTATGAGTTTTCCATTCCTGAGGAGGAGGTCACATCCAGACAGGCGCTATAAACACTTCCTTCTTAATGTTGATGTTGTTGTTAAGTGCCGTAGAGTCAATTCTGACCAATAGCAACCACTGACCTTGCAGTTCAAATGATTTTGCAATCTAATACATTAGCCCACAGCGCCACACCAGGATGTTGTTGTTGTTGTTAGGCCAACCTCACAATTGTTGCCACACTTGAGCTCATTGATGCTGCCACTTTGCCAATCCATCTCCCTGAGGGTCTTCCTCTTTTTCTCTGACCCTCCACCTTACCAAACATGATATCGTTCTCCAGCGACTGGTCCCTCCTGACAACATGTATGAAGTATGAGAGATGAAGTTTGGGATACCAGAGCCCAAATGTTCCCTGGTGGGCTTTCAGCCCCTCCCCACATGGAGCTCATGGATCTTTAATTTTAGATCCCACCAGTCAGCAAGTCCTGGTCGGAACCAACTCAAAGTCCTATTTGGAGATTCCAAGGAGCAGCTGGTGGGTTTGAACTGCTGACCTTGTGGTTCACAATGCTGATCCTACAGAACCACACCAGGAGTCCACAGATACAGACATACACAGATATCTATGTGCATGGACACACGCACCCCTCCAGTATCACCCAGGTGCATGTCTCTGTGCTCTGCCCTCAACTTACTCTAGGTGGCTAATGTCTTCACACTTGCTCAGTATCCCGCACAGTGGCTTCACATGCGTTGAGAGGAGGTTGCATTTGGTGAACCTTTTGGAGGGGAGAAACAAACATTGGTTGGTTGTTTTGGTTATGAAGAGCACCTAGCCCTCTAGACCCTCATGCAGACTCTGAGCTCCAGGTGGGGGCTCTAGCAGCCACCACATTCACCCCAAGTAGATCCACCCCACTGGGCATGCCCACTGCCTCTGCAGCAGTGCTGCTTCAAGCCTGGTGTTAGGACCCTTGCCAGCATCACTTGTTGCACTTTGTTGAAATACAAGTTCTGGGACCTCAGCTCAGATCCATGGAATCAGAAGTACTGCGAGAGGACTCAGCAATCTGTGCTATAATGAACCCTCCAGATGATTCCCATTCAAGCTCCAATCGAAGAAATATAGCTCTGGGGTTATTTTAATGACTGGAGAGTTTCTTCACCTCTCTATCCTCAGATATGGAAGTGGGGAAGGGAATGTGTGTGGTGTTTGCTCTTGTGGAGGGCCACTGATGCTGGGACTAAAAGTCTATCTTTGGAAAGTCTATCTTTGGAAAGGCTAGAATGAACCACACATCAAAGGCAATGAAGGGGCTATGACAGCCAGAATTTTTTTAAAAAAAGCAAAAGTCTCTAAAAATCATTGTGGAATTTGATCACTGTTTATCGTCTTCATGGTTTTTCAATATTCCTAAATACTACATTATGTTATTATTTACTTGATATTTTCTTTAAATCACGTATTTTTTAAAAAGGAACACTTTTATTTAAAAACAAAACCTTGTACCAATAACTTAAATGGAAATCAGTTACCATGTGATGCAAATAGACCATAAGCATAAAATGAAAGTGAAATATCATTATCATGAAATTTTATGAGGGTTGTTGAGGACTCTCCCTTTATTAAAAAGGGAGTTTAGGGAGCTCTGGTAGCATAGTGGTTATGAATCGGGCTGTGAACCGCAAGGTCAGCAGTTCAAAACTACCAGCTGTTCCATGGGAGAAAGATGAGGCATTCTGCTCCTGTAAAGATTTACAGCCTTGGAAATCCTGTACAGGGTCGCTATGGGTCGGAACCGACTCCATGGCACACTTCCAGCCAGCCAGCAAGTGTTAGAGAGGTGTTAAAGACTCACAATGCCCAACTGAGACTTCCTTTTTACCTTAGTCAGAAATGGAACTTAAAAGGGAGTAATTTTGCGCTGGATTGCAAAGTCAGTTTGAACTGCAAGATTGGCAGTTCAAGCTCACCAGTCACTCCTTGGAAGTCGTATACAGGGTTGCTATGGGTCAGAACTCACTTTTGATGGCACTTAACAACAACAACAACAATTTTCTTACCAAGGGATTCAGTGATGTTGAACTACCCTCTCCTGAAAATCATCTAAAAATACAACCTTCTAAAAATCATCTCATTGTGGTCTGTGTCCTATAGTTTGGAAAATCCTGATGTATAAATTCTTTCAGTCAGGATGGCATTGGGTTATGACAGAGATCGAGAAAGCATGGATCACGGCTGTCTGCTTCTGTATAATCTGAGAGCAAAGAATGATTTTTACATGATCAAATGGTGGGAAACAATTTTTTTTAAAAAGAGTACTATTTTGAGACTTCCAGGAAGATAGCAGACTAGGAAGCCACAATACAAGGACTCTCTACCACAAACATACAAGATACCAAATGAAACAGACACAGGTGAAAATCCTGGCAGCCTGAACTTCAAAAGAAAGCTCAGGGAGGTGGATGAGTGCTTGCTGAGAGGAGAAGCTGAACAGGGATGGTGAGAGAGGGAGACTGGTGAAGGGCTGGCCAGATGTAGCTGGACCATCTTGTGGGCAGCTTTGGCAGCCGAGGGAGGTCTGGCAGGGCAGATTCCAGTGGGTGATGGGAAAGTTATGATTTTTACTCCCTCCCCGAGCCCCACCATTCGCTATTGACCATAAGTGTGGCCAGCTCCCACCCTCATCCACCCCCAGCACAGAATCTGCTCTTGGAGAACCCAGAGCCATGTGATGGGAGTCCCATAAGCAGGAGGTAGGGGCTGGCTGCATTGGGGGCTGGTTTCAGGTGGGCTGTACCCTAGACCTATAACCAGCATTTAATCAATCACTCTGCCCTCAGATTCCCAGTGGTCCTAACAGACACACTGAAACTAGCTCATCCAGGGCCTCAACGAATGACTTCCAGAGTGAGTGCCCTGAACGTAGATAACACCAAGGCCTGTAAGAACTCCATCTAGGGTCAGGAACTCTGCTGTCATAACCCACCCACACCCACATTGTGAGCTCCTTGAATTGCAGGAACCCCCCCAGAGATTTCTCCCCTCTGGGTCCAATAACAGCACTGTTTGTTTTTACAAATACCATAAGCTCACAATGTCCCGGAGACAACAGATAATTTTAGCTCATAAGAAGGAACGAGAGAAAGGGTCAAACAAATGACCACGATGCAGAGACAGAAGATGTTTCTGAAGAAGAAAAGGGAGTGGAACTAACCGAAAAAGAATTCAAAAGAATGAAAATTAGGTACCTTCAAATATCAAGGAAAGCATGGAGGAACACAGTAAAAACTTTAGAAGAATTCAGGAAAACACTACAAGAACAAACAGACAAAGGAAATGCAAATTTTGAAACAACACAAAACCTGCAATTAGAAATCCAGAAGATTAATACTGAGATCTCAGAAATGGACAAAACATTGAAAAGGAAAAGGAGTAGATGTAAAGCAATGGAAGTCTGCATTAATGAGCTTGAAGATTAATTTCTCAATACTAGTATGCTAGAAGAATAATCAGAAAAAAGAATTTTAAAAATCCAAAAATAGCCTAGGAATTATGTGGGAGACCAGGAAGAGGAACAACTTATGGGTGACTGGAATTCCAGAACAGAAAGAGACAAGCACAGAGAAAATTGTCAAAGAAAACTTCCCTAACATCATGAAAGAGGAAGATAAGCACACAAGAAGCTGAATGAACCCCAAACAGCATAGATCCCAAAAGAAAATCACCAAAATGTATCATAATCAAACTTCCCAAAGTCAAAAACAAAGAATGAATCCCAAGATTTCAGAAAAATGAAAATTACCTACAAAGAGAACCAATGAAACTAAACTGTAATTTCTCAGCAGAAACCATACAGGCAAGCCGGCAATGGAATGATACATTCTAAACTCTGAAAAAGAAGATTGCCAACCAAGAAGCATATACCCAGCAAAGCTGTCCCTCGATGGTAGGTGGTGGTTATGTGCTGTGGAGTCGGTTCTGACTCATAGCGACCCTGTACAGGGTTTCCGAGGCTATAAATTTTATGGGAGCAGAAATCTCATCTTTCTCCTGTGAAACAGCTGGTAGTTTCGAACTGCTGTCCCTGAGGTTAGCAGCTCGATTCATAACCAAAAAGATTGCCAACAAAGAAGCATATACCCTGCAAAGCTGTCCCTCGATACAATGGAGAAATTAGGACATTTCCTGATAAACAGAAATGAAAGGAATTTGTAATGACTGGATCAACTTTACAAAAAATGCTAAAGGGTGGTCTTTGGACTGAGAAGCAACAACAGTAAACAACCACCTGAGATTACCACCCGTGACAACACCACCCAGAACTCAATCCAAACCTACGAAACTGAAAGCAGGGAACCAGAGATATCAGTGTATAATTCAGTCAACTTCAAAGCAAGAACGGGGAATGGTGTAGATAATAGAATTTACAAATAGCAAGGAAGTCAAGTGGATTTCAAGATAAACCAGACAGTTTTAAGCAGGGAAAAAATTAATAAATTACAGGGTAACTTCAAAGTAAAATAATGCATCTGCACATCAAAATTATAAAAAGAAGAAAATCAGAAAGATTTAGTAAACACTTGTTGTTGTTGTTGTTAAGTGCCGTCGAGTCGGTTCTGACCCATATGGACCCTTACAGGGTTTCCAAGGAGCAGCTGGTGATTTTGAACTGCTTACCACATGATTTAAACCGACTTTGCAGTTCAGTGCATTAACCCACAGTGCCACAAATGAAAATGAAAAGAAAACCCATAAACAAAATGAACTCAGCATAGAAACAAATAATCACACACAAAAATGACAGCAATCAACTCATATCTATTGATAATTACACTGAATGTAAATGGATTTCATGTACCAGTCAAAAGACATAAAGAGCAGAATGGAAAACAGGATCCTTCAATATGCTGTCTAGAAGTGACACATCAAAAAGATGGCGACAGCCTAAATGCCCATCAACAGAAGAATGGTTAAACAAATTTTGGTGCATACACACTACAACAGAATACTACAAAATGCTAAAGAATAATGATGAATCTGTGAAACACCTCACAACACGGTTGAACCTAGGGAACATTATGCTGAGTGAAACTAGTCAACCAAAAAAGGACAAACATTGTATGAGACCAACATTGTAAAAAGTTAAAAATAAAAGTTTCAGTTTTTTTAAAAATAAAAGAAACCATCTATGATGATTGCAGGGGTTAGGAGGAGGGCAATTGCTCATGGGCTAGAGGACAGACACGCTAACATGGGTGACAGGGCAGGCAATATACAAGAGGGAGCTTAGCAGAGGAAAGGTGAAGGGAGCAGGAGACACTGGCAGGAACGTAGTGGGTAAAGTGAATAGAGGTAAATGCTGTCAACTGTTGGGACAGGGAGGGGATTGCAACCAGGTAATGAAGCAAAGGAGCTCTGGTAGTGTAGTGGTTATGAATCGGGCTGCGAACCTTAAGGTCAGCGGCTCGAAACTACCAGCCGCTCCGCGGGAGAAAGATGAGGTTTTCTACTCCCGTAAAGATTTACACCCTCGGAAACCCTGTACAGGGTCGCTATGGGTCGGAACCGACTCGATGGCACTTAACAACAACAACAACAATGAAGCAAAGTATATGATTTGTTGAATGCAAAACTGATGATCTGCTCTGTAAGCCTTCACACAATTCACAGTAAAAGTTTTAAAAAATAATAAAAATAAAAAAAGAGTACCATCTCATGACATATCAACATTATATGAAATTCAAATTTTATGGTTCATAAATACAGTTTTATTGAAACAGTCATATGCATTTGTTTATGTATTATCTAGGTCTGCTTTCAAGTCATAACAGCAGAATTAAAAAGAGATAAGAGACCACATGGCCTGGTAGTAAAAAATATTTACTACCCTGGGTGATGCAAATGGCTACCATGCTTGCCTACTAACCAAAACAGTTCAGTCCACCCGGAGATACTTTGGAAGAAAGACTTGAAAATCTACTTTTGAGAAATCAGCCTATTGTGGCATATGTGGGGTTACCCTGAGTTGGGGTTGACTTCACAGCAACTATGGGGTTTTTTTGTTTTGTTTTGCTAACTCTCTACAGAAAACGTTTGCCCACTATTGGGCTAGGAAGATGAGACTGCCTGAATTCATATTCGACATCACCACTTCCTGCTGTGTGATCTTGTATGAGTCAATATGCATAAAGCTCTAAGCTAGGTGCCTTGTAGTTCAGCAGCTCTCAGCAAAAGTTAACTAAATGTTATCTATTTCGTTTCTTGTATTTCATGCTGAGGAACCTGGGTTTAAAGAGGAGAAAGGACTAGCTTAAGGTCTCAATGTTAACCAGTGGCATCCTCTCTGAATTGCAGCCCTTCTCCCTTATCCTTGGGAGAAGGATGAAGTTGTCTGCTTCTGTAAGGAGTTAATCTTAGGAACTCTATAGAGCAGTTCTACCCTGTCCTGCAGGGTCTACAAGTTGCAACTGACTCGACAACAGTAGGTCCCTTATCTTGACCCCATTACAATGTCTTCCTCCTTCTCATCTGATCCAGAGCATTGGTCCAGAGTCAGCAAGGGCAAAGTCATTCACATCTGAGTGATGTTCTACACGTCACTTTCCTGAATCCTTTTTGGCTCCCTGCAATATAGTGATTCCTTTCTACAACTACGGAATCCTAGAGCCAGAGCAGTTAAGCAATGGGTCCAAGGTCCTCTGTGGAGCTGGAATTTAAAGCCTGGTGGGAATGTGGCAAAACCCCTTCATATTCCCAGGCTTCCTGTGTTCTATTTCTCCCTGACATGGACTCGCTGTATGCCCTTGAACAAAAGACTACCTCTCTCTGGGCCTGTTTCTTCATGTTAAAAACACCTTGGATGACTTTGCGTGGGTCAGATAGTCCTTGCTTTGTTCTGGATACCTTGGAGGTCATGTCTACTCACCCCCAGTGACCCCTGGCTGCCAGGGTCTGATGAGGTCACTTACCCACAGCTCACATCTTCTTGCTCCTCACTGGACCTGAAGTGCACGGATACATGACTCAGGGACCTGGAGGAGATAGCACTGAGGTCAGCCCACATTTGCCACAGCCTGAAGATGCCCCCAGGAGGCAGCCACCCCTCCCCCTGAAGCACAGTCTCTGGCTTGGACCCTACCACCTTTATTCCACCCCAGACACAATGCTCTAGAACTCTTGTCCCAGTGGTCCAGGCCACTGCCCACCTGAGCTCCAACTTCTGAGTCCGAGGACACAAACTGAAGATGTTGGCCAGCAGCAAGGGGCTCCTTGGAGGCAGTCTCATCTGACTCAGTCTAAAAAAGCAAGAGTCAGGTCCTATATCAGCAAATCACAGTCAAGCAAGGCCAATGGACAAGGGACCTGGGCAGGCTGGAGGGAATCGCCCGGGTCCACGAACCAATGGGAAGAAGGCACGGGTGCAGGAGGTGAAACAGACCTGGGTTTGACTTTTAGGTCTGCTCACTGGCTATGGCATCTTGGACATCCCTCAGTTTCCTTGTCTGGGAAACAGGCTTAACTGTGGAATGCCGTCCTCCCAGGATGCCATGAGGATTTAATGAACCAAGTTTGAGAACAGCCTAGCTTGCTGTCATTATTACTCTTATTTTTCCCTGAAAAAAGACTTAACAGGTGAGTCCTTAATGAGAGTAAGCAGGAAGTTCCAGGCCTCTAGAGTAGTTTCCCAACCTCAGCACTAGTGTGGGTTGGAGCTGGGTAGTAGTAGGTTTAGTGCAAAAATTATGGGTTAAGTAAACCAAAGTTTGTTGTGAGGACTCTTCTGGGCACTGCAGGATGCTATTCCCTGGACACATACACCGCCCCCACACATGCACACAGACACACCCACAAGCACACACACAAACATATACACATACCACAGATATGCACCCACATGTGCATGAATGCACACACACATACACAATGCACGCATACACAGACACTACATACATGCACAGTCATGCATATATCCCAAAAGAACACACATGCACACACAGCACAATGCATGTATGCACACAGCACTGTATACACACATTGCTGCACACGCACACACTACATACACAAACATACACTCACACCCCCATAAACACACACACACACATGCAAACACCCCCATGTTCACATACATACCACACACATGCACACACCATATGCACAAACATGCAGACACACCCCACATATGTACACACATACACAACACACATGTACACACACATGTACACGTGAACATCCTACATGCACACATGCACACACCACACACATATGCACACATACCACACACAGGATAAAAGTTCCTTGGGATGAAAACCCAAACTCCTTCCCACGGTGACCAGCCCTGGGTGACCCAGCCCCTACCCATAATTCCATCTCCTCTCCCAGGACTGCCAGCCACTGTGTGCCCTTGACTTTAGTCTCCTCCCTGCTCCTTGAGGCCCTTCCAAGCTGAGCCTTAGGGCCTTACCCATGCTGTTCCCTTTGTCTGAAATGCTGTTTCCTGCTCTCCACAAGGGCTGCCTCCTTTTCCTTCAGACCATCCAGTTCAGAGTCTCCTCAGAGGCACTCCCTGACTTCCCTGCCATTGTCTAAGTCACCTCCCCAGACACTCACCACCACATCACTTGGGAAAATACCTTACCACTGTCCAAATTCACCTTATTTGATTTGATTTTGCTGATTTCCAGTTAGGAGCCCTGGTGGCACAGTGGTTAAGCATTTGGCTGATAACCAAAAGGTCGGTGTTCAAACCCTACAGCTTCTCCCCAAAAGAAAGCTATGGCAGTATGCTTCCATAGAGATTTCAGCCTGGGAAACCCTGAGGGGCTGTTCCCCTGTGTCCTGTGGAGTGGCTATGAACCCACAGTGTGGGGTTGGATTTTGGTTGGTATTGTCCAGCTCCCTCTACTACAAGGTAAGTTCCAGAAGACAAGCGCATAGACAGTTTTTTCCTCTGTGGTATTTCCTGTACTCCAAATAGTGCCGGGCACATAGTAGGTCTAGTGCAAAAATGATGGGTTAAGTAAACCAAAATCAAAGCCCAGGTGAGGGTCAGTCTGGCCACTTGATGACCAAGAAGTTGAGGGCTGATGCTGTGTGACTTAGACATACAGAAGGCCCTCTCTGGTCTGAGGTTTCCTACCTCATTTTAACTAACTATCATCTTTTGTGTCCAAAGGAACCCTTCCTCTCCTGGCGGGTGAGGGCTGTGTTGTACCTGCTCACCTTCTTTTCCCTCCCGCCCCTGGCCCAGAGGACCTTGGGTGTGATGTGAGCTGTCTTAGGCATCCCAGAAAGTCTCAGCATTAGGACCGATGCTGCTGCTGTTAATGTTATGATTAATTTCCTGTTGTATTTTTCCATCTCAGCTGCAGCTGCTTCACCCCTCCCATCCTGCTAGAGGAATATTTAAATAAATCCTTTTTAAATTCTAACCAGTCCAAGCTGAAATTAGAAAATAGAGTTTTAAATACTTTGGGGTTCATTGCTTAAATTCTCCCTTTACACAGTTTGATGGTGACCTTTAAAACACCGTTGTGACATATACACAACCTACGTCTACAAAATCTCTTCCACGGGGTGGGAGCGTGGAATGAGGGCGCTTATGACTTTCCATATGTCACAGGCTTTGTGTCCTTCAAGGTACTTTTAGGGTCACTGTCCTGTCTGAGTTGGAACCCTGGAAAGAGTGCAAAAAGGGGTTGGGGACTATTCATTCCATTTGTTAGATTAGGAGATGAAGGTTCAGAGGGGTCAAACAACTTCCAAGGTTGATGAAGCATTAAGGTGGAGCTGGAAGCAAACTGGAGCCCCAGTTGTAGCCATGAAGCAATGAATCTGTCCTCAGGGAAGGGGGAAGTTGGAAGATGGGATGGCTTTGCAATGACCAGGGGAAGACCAAGTCTTACTTCAGCAGGCTCAGCTGGGGGAGCCGGGGGCAACAGTGCAGTAGGGTTTCTAGGCTCTCATCACTCAGGAACTCACAGGACAACCTGTGGATAAAAACATCTGAATTAAGGGGTGGGGGGGCAGGGGCGGAGAGGAGCTGGGCACATGGTCTCACACCCAGAGCCTTCTGGAGACAGGCCCTAAGCCAGTGTTGCCTCAAACGTTCCCTCCAAACACTGGGGCCTTGAGATACCATTGCAGGGTGACGGAAGACAAAGGCCATGTATGTTTGGAAACTGCTGAGCGAAACCAAATTCAGTAATTTTCCTTGCTGTGGAACTTTCCAGAGCCTATACTATGCTGCTATGAATTGTGCATTGCCAAGAGTCCTGGTGTGGTGGTGTAGAATAAGCATTGGACTGTTAAACCCACCAGTCGCTCCTCAGAGACCCAACACAGGGTCGCTATGAGTCGGAACCAACTGGACGACACTAAATAACAATATTAAAGCCAGTGAAGCATGAGGCTGGGGTCTTCTGTGAAGGGTTCTCCAAATTAGATCATGGACCATCCTGTGAAGTAGGTCCACCAGAGTGAGGAAGGGGGAGTGGGAGAGGCACAATGTGTAAGATGAATAATGGAAGAGCTGCTCACTCTTCATCTTGAGTGTTCATCTTTACTCCAGAGGGTGGGAGTTCCACATTCATACTGTGGAGGTGGACCAATAAACACACCGTGAAAAACACCTGAGACAACCAGAAAGGAGGACATTGACTGGGTACTTGATGATTAAGGAAATACTGGTATTTTAGCTCTGTTGATAATTTTGTGGTTATGTAAATAATGATAATAATAATAAGGTCCATATCTTTTGGTTAAAGGATCCCTGGTAGCACTGTGGGGTAAGTAGTGCACTGCTAACCACAGGTCAGCAGTTGAAATCCATAATCATTTTACAGTGGAGAAAGCTGAACAACACCATGTGGCCGGGGGCTCAGGGTCAACATCACTAGTGAAAGCCATACTGAGAATATCTGATATGACGAGCAGGACAACTCACGTCTGTGGTGTTTTCCCCCAAAACTTATAACCACAGTGTAGTCATGAGAAAAACATCAGTTAATCCCAAACTGAGGACATTCTATAAATGCTTCAAAACTGTCAAGGACAAGCGAAACAAGGGAAGAATGCGAAATTGTCACAGACCAAGGAGCCTAATGACACACGATTAACTGGGTGGGATCTTGGATCCTGGAAAGTGCATTAGTGGAAAAAATAGGGAAAATGTTCATAAAATTTGTTGTTGTTGTCAAGCGTTGTTGAATACGTTCCAACTCACAGTTAGCCTGCATAGGGTTCCCAAGGAGTGGGTGGTAAGTTTGAACAGCTGACATTGTAGTTAGCAGTCCAGTGCTTGTACTGCAGTACATAATGTCTAGAGTTTAGTAACTAACACTGTCTTAATGTTGGTTTCTTAGTTGCGACAAATCTACCTTGGTTGATAGAGGAAACGATGTTGTATGTTAGCAGTCTGCAGAAATTCCCTATTATCTTCACAGATTTTCTTTAAACCAAGTCTAAGACTAATCTAATATAGTTTCATTAAAAAATTAACTGGGGAAATATATAGTAGTGATGGTTACACAATGTTGTGAGTGTATTTGTTGTTGTTAAGTGCCATCGAGTCACTTCTGTCTCATAGCAATTCTGGATCAGGTTTTGGAGGAGCGGCTGGTGGTGTGGAACTGTAGACCTTGTGGTTAGTAGTCCAGTGCTGATCCTACAGTACCACTTAATGCCACTAAATTGCACACTTAAAAATGATTAACATGGTAACTTTTATATTATACATGTCTTACCACAACTTCATCTCTTATACTTCGGACATATTGTCAGGAGGGACCAGTTGCTGGAGAAGGATATCATGTTTGTTAGGGTAGAAGGTCAGAGAAAAAGAGGAAGATCCCCAGCAAGATGGATTGGCATAGTGGCAGCATCAATGAGCTCAAGTGTGGCAAGAATTGTGAGGTTGGCCCAGACCAGGCAGTGTTTCGTTCTGTTATACATAGAGTCACTATGAGTCAGTACCGACTCGATGGCAACCTAACAACAACAATGTCTTGTTGTTCTGTGCTGTGGAGTCGATTCCGACTCATAGTGACCCTGTACAGGGTTTCCGAGGCTGGGAATCTTTATGGGAGCAGAAAGCCTCATCTTTCTCCCGCGGAACAGCTGGTAGTTTTGAACTGCTGACCTTGCGGCTCACAGCCCGATTCGTAACCACTATGCTACCAGAGCTCCTTAACAATGTCTTACCACAGTGAAAAATACTTAATTGGATCCACATGTCTTGATATTCAGGAAAAGCCATGTTATGGACAAAAACGAGTTGTAGAGAAATTACCTAGTAAGATCCCATGTCTGTTAAACAATGTCAAACCCCTCTCTCCAGGTTTGAATGCTTGAAAGGGAGAAAGGCCTAGAAGGACCTACCCCGGTGGACAACAGGAATTAACTCACCAGAAGGGCTGGGAGGACATTGGCGATGGGAACCAGAAAGCAAGAAAGAGAAGACTGTAGCAAAATGGAACAATGCATGTGATATGGTGTGAAGATAGTCTTGTGGAAGGAAGGCAACTAGTCATGGCTACAAAAAGGTGACAATTAAATATGCAAGGAGACCAGGAGTAGGAGGTCACGTGGACAAATGACACTATTAATTTGAAGGGGTTCTTTAGGTGTGACAATTTTGATTTGGATTTCTTTATTTGGGGGTCATTATGAGTTCTGGTGTGGCGCTGTGGGTTAATGCGCCAGACTAGAAAGCTGTTTGAACAACAAGATTGGTGGTTCAAGCTCACCAGCCTCTCCTTGGAAACCCTATACAGGGTCGCTATGGGTTGGAACCGACTCGACGGCACTTAACAACAACAACAACAACATTGAAATAAAATGATCACAATGACAACAAAAGGAAAGGTCTGCTTTGCCAACAGGAAAGCTGAGGCCCAGGCTGACTGGGCCTGATTCCAAGCCCAGTCTCTGGTCACAGATAAGGGTTCTTGGTGGTTGAGATGGTATCTTCCGAGGGCCCCAACAGGAGAGCCCTCAGAAATGATAAACTCCAGTCTCAGAGGTAGATCCAAACGGGTGCCTGGTGAGGCTCTGGGAATGGGGGCAGACTGGGCTCCCTGCTCCTTGAGTTGAGGGTGGGGGAGACCCCTGGGTCAGCATTGTGTCCCCTGAGAGTGGAGTGAGACACCTGAGATGGGATGCTATCGGGAGGCACCCTACCTTCTACTCCCAGGCCAGTGGGGTCTGGAGGGCAGGCAGAGGGAGGGCCCACCTGACCTTTAACCCGGAAACCCTTCCAGAGGCTCCCACAGGGCTCTGTCATCTACTTACTCAATTTCCAAAGGCCCTGGGCACTTCTCCAGGGCTTCCCAGAGGCGGATGAGACTAGAAGGTTCCAGTGGACACTCCCTGAGGCTGGAAAAGGACAGTTGGACAGGGCAGGGGATCAAAGGAGGCTCCTGACCTCCCTGCAGGGCGCGCCCTCCTCTTCCCAGTCTCCTCCCAACAGCCACCATTCCCACTACTCTGACAGCGACAGTAAAGGCCCCAAGTGTCTAGCTGTCCTGGCCCAGCTACTGAAGTCCTCCACATGGGCCTCAGACTGGGACCACGTTAAAATCCTTTGGGCTTCCACTTTTGCCTTCGACAGTCCATTTCCACTCTGTACTGCCTCCCCTTTTAACTGCAAATCTGACCAGGCCTTCCTCCTGCATAAAACTCTCAGTGGCTCCTCATTACCTTTACACTAAAAGCTAAATGCCTTTCCTTCACCTCACTCTGCCTCTTTCTCCCCATCTGCTCCAGTGCCACTGAAAAGCTTCCTGCCCAAGCCCTCTATGCTGCTCTTCCTGTCACACGTTTGTCTCTCTATCTTCTTCTCCTCAGGCCTCAGTGTATAGTCTTTTTGTAGGGATGTGAGGAGATTAAGACCCGGATTGTGGAAAGCCCAGCTAGGGGCAGGGGTGATAATTCTCCCAGCTCAGGCCTCAAGCAAAGGTAGCTAGCATTCTTTCTACAGTATTTGGGGTGGGAGGCAGGTCCACTTCTTACAGAAAAGTGGTACCTCAGAGGCAGAAACAGTTGACTGCCCTACTTTCTTCAGAGATATGTGAAATTTCTTCCTAAATTTTCTCTGAACTCCCTAATAGGTCATAAACAACCCCCACCAAATCACCCATTTTTCATATCCCCTCTCTCAATGGATTTTCCCAAACTCTTACTCTCAGCCCCTTGGTTCTTCTCACTCTGAGAGGGTAAAGATCTAAAGAGGGAGCTGATCTCTGACCCCTCTCAGCCCATGGTGGTTACCCACAAAGATGTAACAGAGACTGTACCGAAAGCTCTTGGGGACACAGCGCTGACTGTACCCTAAGAACAGGGCTCCAGTTGTGCACTCTGCCAAAGATTCACCAGCCAGTATATTCCTGGGAATGGAGAAATCGTTTTGAAAGAAAAATTTAAATCATCCATATTGGAATCCTAGACTGAAATCCTAGTCAGGACTGGAAGGAGTCTGAGAGACAGACAGGTTACTAGGTTCTTCGTCTAGCCTCTCATTATACAGATGGAAAGTTGAGGCCCAGAGAGGGCAAGTCCTGGAGTGAGGGAGACATGCATGGGGTGTGGTCAGGAAGAGCCACTCCTCTTTAACCAATGACTCAGCATTCAATGACTTCCATCTTCCTATAATTGGATTCCTCTGACTTTTAGAACACAGAGGGTTCCCAGAAACAGAGATCCCAGTCAGGAAAGCAAGGCCACCTGGCCTTTGGCCATGCCCTGACTGCAGACAGACAGATATAGCAACATTTCCCCCACATGTCAACCTTGACACACTAGCTATGAATTCAGTCTGTCCAGCTGGCCTGGCATTAGGACACCTTTTGTACTTACCAAGGTTTCAGTGAGACCAGGTTACCCAGCCACACTAGGGGCAGCCTGGAGCACCCCTGAGGAACTAAAGCTATTCACCATTTACTGCAAAGATGTGGAAAACAATTTCAGAGTGCCAACGCTTCTTGGCTTCAGCAATGCAGTGTGAAAGGATAGTGACTCATATGTGCCATGAGTCAGTCAAAGTCCCCAAGAGCAGCAACATGACTGCTCGCTCCTGCCCTCCCCACAGCCGCAGGTGCTAACCTGGACTTAGCACCAACACCACCATCTTCTTCCTCCTTCCCTCCCATCCTCACGGTCTTCTTCCAAGAAAGATTTAAGTCAGAGAGTTACAGGAAATTTACATGATGGGGTGGGGAATTATAGAAAGAGCAATTCATTTTCATATGCCTGACCCGGGCTAACTCTAGGGCTAACAGCGGCCAACATGTAAATGCAGGGGAGGGGAGCCCACCCCAGAATGTTCCCACCTCACCTGTGTCCCAGGTCTCCTCTCAGGAGGAAGCACTGACTTTTTAAGCTGGAAACAGAGAAGAGGCAGTTGTCTGAGAAAAGGCTAAGTAAGGCCTCACTTCCCAGGCAGCGACAGGAAGTGAAGGAGTGGCTTGTTCAAGGAGTACCTGGAGGTGGCCCATTTTCAACAACAAAAATGATGAAGGCATATACAAACCACACCACCAACATTATCTCATTTGATTTTCGTAATAGTACCATGAGATAAGGAAGTATTCTTATCTCCATTTTACAGATGAGGAAACTGAGGCATGGAGAGATTCAGTGGCCTGCCCCAAACTGGTCAATTTGCTATGCCTCCTCTGCTCTGGTGAATCCTCAGGGGAGAACCGGTAGACTTCACCTGAAACCATGGTTGATACGCGTGTAGTGGATGGAGCTGGGCTACTTGGCTGGGTGTTGTCTTATCATTTCTAGTGACCCCACAATTAAGGTGGGTACCTAAACACCCAGTGGCCACCACGGAGCTCCCAATTTTATTCTTACTAATACATACTTACTAGAAAAGATTCATGCATTATAGGGAGTTCCTGATTTCTTAAGTCTCCAGGAACACTCCAGAGGTAGTGGTAATGAATCACGCACCATGGTGAATTTGGAGAAATGAGTGTGTCTGGGCCACATCCATCCATCTACCCATTGGACATCCCTTGCATATGCACTGGACCCAATATTGTGTGGAGGTCTGGGGATAATACCCGGTGAACTGGCAGGTATGGGAACTGATGGCATCTGCTCCTAGTGCATGAGGTGGGCGCAGAGGCTAAGAAGCACGCTCACCTGATGTCTAAATGAAGAATCCATTCCAGAGTAGAGAAGGGCTGGACCAAACTGAATACAGAATCCAGGGATAAGCTGTTCTCACTGAGGCTGGAGAATCACAAGAAGCAACATTGAGGGAGGTCATCGAGGACTCAAATGCATCCTCTTTGTGGTGAGAGCACAGGACAGGGGAAGGAGCTCACTGAACCCCAGGTACTCAGAGAGCACCTCTTCCAACTCTCCATTGTACATATGGGGAAACTGAGACCCAGAAAAAGGCTGGATCTTGTCCAAAGTTACAAGGCATGTTGTTGACGGAGCTCAGATTAGAATCTAGTGGTGCCTGGATCTGTGATGAATCTGGGTAATGAATATGTGAGACTCCTAGTCAAAAAGCAGGGACATTTTCTTCTTTCCTCTGTTTTTTATTTGCTCTGTAATATTCTATTCTTCAAGCATGGGAGGTTACCCACAGGGTAAATGCAGACTCTCATAGGTGCCTGCAGCATCTTTTTCATGCCAGGGCACCTGCCTTGAAGCCTAGTCTTTCCCTCAAATGTTCCCAGGACTCCACAGAGTGTGGAGGGTAGCCACTGTTGCTGGGTGGGGGAGGGAATAAGTCAGCTGAGAATCTGTCCTGGGAAGCTTCAAGCCCCTGACACACACACACACACACACACACACACACACACACGCCATTGACCCCTAGTATTTACTTACAAAACACAAAGTCAAAGAAAAAGTCATTAAATTACAAGACTGCAGAGAGTAAGAGGTTAGGGGAATATGGGGCCCAAGACCACCATGGGCCTTGGGCTAGCTACAAGCAAATTTTAATTTTCCTGGTGTGTAAGGGCTCTCCCAGATCCAGATGCTTGGCACAACCAAAATGGCTCACACAAAGCCTGATCTGACTTCTTTTTGTCATAGGCTCTGCTTCTGTTTCTGCAAAGGTGGCCCATTACTGTTGACCGGTAAGCAAGGTAGTTTCCCCTCAGGAAGTGTGTGGTTGAAAGTAGACTAGCTAAGTTGGACTTGACTGGGCATGTCCTAAATGATTTACTGAAAACAGCCAATCAGAAGAGCTATTTTAGGTAGCCAATCAGAGGTGTTTGTTTTGTTTTTTACTGTTCCTTATATTATAATATTTAGGCCCTGCTCAGCCTCTGATGGGTGGAGCACTTCGTAACTGCTCAACGGCTCTGTACTACCCTGATTTGCAAATTTGTCTATCCCTGCTCTGCGATGTGTGACTCTTTCTAGGACCTGGACACCTCTCATCTCTCTGTCAGGGACTCAAAGCCCTCTGGGGGCCCTGGGCACCTGTTTGGGTGTCTCCATGTAGCACAGTGGTTACGAGTTGGGCTGCGAACCTCAAGGTCAGCAGTTTGAACTATCAGCGGTTCCATGGGAGAAAGATGAGGCTTTGGTCCTGTAAAGATTTACAGCCTTGGAAACCCTATGCAGGGTTGCTATGAGTTGGAACCGACTCCATGACACACCACCACCACCATCGTGTTCCTCCTATGTCCCTCAAATAGCCCCACTGTGCCCCAAGGTTAGAATAGCTGCCAACTACCAATCATGCAATGCTTCCCACCCAGGCCACCCTACCCAGTGTGAAAACACAGACAGGCCTCAGGAAGAGGTACCTGTACTCAGAATCTGAACTACTGAGTCAAAGCCGCCATTCTCTATATTAATTGGAGTCATAGTATTAGCTGCTGTTTTCCATGATCTTACCACATGCAGGGCACTGAATCAGGCTATGTACAGTCATTTTCGGATGTAGTCTGTGCAGTAACCCAGATCACTCCCACACACACATACAGCCTCCGTGTTAACAGGACAAAGCTCAGAGGTTCTGCCAAACCCAGTTACTCACTTCAAGGACTGCAAAGCACCCAGTCCTGGGAGCAGCTGAGCCAACAGGGCAGCACCTTCATCTCCTAGAGCGTTGTCTGATAAGCTGTGAGGGCAAATAGGGGGAGATGTTAGTGAGGGGTGCTGGGAGGAAGTATCATCCCTCCCCATCAACTTCTAAAACCAGAGAACACAGGCAGGGCTGCCAGGCCAGATCTCAGCAGAACATTCTTATACTGAGGTTTGTGAGCCCCTTGGAGGGTCAGGTGTGGGCCTCAGACGATGTCAAGTGTGAGGGATCTGTATTTTGGAGGGAAGTGTCATAACTTTCACCAGATTCATTAAGGTGTTTCTTGTTCAGTAGGAACAGAATGGCTGATATAAATTGTCAAGACAAACAAAAAGCCATATCTACTAAGACCAGCGAACTGCTCTTCTCGGCCCACCCACCTTCCAGTTGGCAGCTACTCACTCGAGGTCACTGAGGTGATAATTTCCCAGTGTCTTGCAGAGTTCCTCTAGGTGCTTGGCTTGGAAGCCACAGTGGGTCAGCCTGCAGAGGGGCAGAACCAGTCTCCTACATTGAGATGAGAGCAGCCCCACCACCCCAGACACACAGACAGAGAAGAAGGGGTGCAGGAGAAGAGGAACTGGGACTCAGCAGTCACCCAGAAAGATGGATAAAGAAGGAACGAACTCCTGTCACATGCAGGCAAAGAAGTGTCAGAGGCTTAGACACGTGGAGAGACGGGGAGGGAAAGAGAGAGAGGAGGACAGACAGATGAGACAAAGAAGACCAGGAGAGGGCAGAGGCAGGGAAGCAGAAAATATGAAAGACAGGCAGAGAAGGAAGGATATTCAGACAGAATAAGTGAGAAGGCTAGAGCTCCCAGGCCTAAGCTACAGGATCAAGAAAGAAAGATCAAGTTCTTCCTTTCCCTTTTTTCCAATTTCCCACAACCCTTAGCTGCTGAGGTAAGAGATGCTATGGGAAGTGGGCCTCTGGATGGGAAAGGCATAGTGACTGAGAGGCTGGCCAAGCATGAAAGAGGGGCAGGGGATTCAGGTGGCATCTCCTAGGTCATGATCCTCTAGGGAATACTGGGACTTGGTCCTGGGATGGACTTTGAGCAGAAGAAGTGGGAAGCTGGAACCATACACAGAGCTGGGAGGCGGTCACTGTACCTGATCCTTCTGGAACTCAGGGGGAGCTCAGAGGGCATCTGGGGAATGAGGCTATCCAGAAATGCAGCCCTGGAGGAACACACAACAAGGCCAGGCTCAGCCAACACTTCAACTATTTCCAAAGTCCTTCCTCAGCCTCACCATTCACACCTTTCAGTGTCCATCTATGGCCTAGAGTCAGGCCACCACCTTGGTTCTAATTTGGCTTCTCTGCTTCCTGGCTGTTTGACCTTGGACAAATCCCTTAAGGTATGGAATAATGTACATGCATTGCCTTAGTTTGATGCTGGGTGCGTAGTAAGTGCTCAATTATTAACATTGGCCGTTATTATTATTAGTGTTCTTGGGTGGTGCTAAGGTTAACTGAAAGGTCGGCAGTTCAATCCACCTGAAGGCATCTTGGAAGGGAGTCCTGGTGATCTGCTTCTGAAATAGCAGCCATTGGACCCCTTATGGATTACAGTTCTATTTGACACACATGGGGTTTCCATGAGTCAGAGCTGATTCAACAGCAGCTGTTTTTGTTGTTATTAGTCCCATGATTATCATCAATGATGATCTGGGATGGAAATCAAGAGATGGCAACTAAGCCATCAACAGTTCAGACCCTACAGAAGAGATTGTAGATGGACACCAAGGAGCAAAGAGTTCCTGAGTGGAGTTGGGCAGGTCAGGAAGTCACCCTGGAGCAGGTAAACATCCCAAAGGGTCTTCATGCCAAAGGGAGACAGAAGTTCATAAACGAAGGCCAGGAAGTGTTCAGGTTTTAGGCTGAAGGACCTTAGCCTCCTAGCATCACACTCTGGCTACCTCATTCCCTGCTCCAGCTGCGGTTCCCATCCTGTATCATGGGACTCTTGGACACTGTGAGGCAGTCTGTCCTTTGATCATCTCCCCTTTAAGGCTCCAGCCATGCTGCACAGCCTGCTTCTTTTCTGTGGCTCCTTGACTTTGCTAAGGCCTTCTGGGTATCTGATGAAGGAGGTGGCCCTGGCCGAGGCTGGGAGTGGGATGCTGTGGTCCTACCTCTTCTGGGTTCCCTCTTCCTCTTCTGGATCTTGGGCAAATGTGAGGATCACAGTTTTGTGCAGCAGGCTGCAGAGAGAAGGGAGGAGTGAGGAAATGAGAGGCTCACAAGTCCCTGTTGCTCTGTGGCATTTTACCCCCATTGCATCAATGGACTCAAGTGTGGCAATAGTAGTGAGGTTGACCCAGGATCGGGCAGTGTTTCGTTCTGCTGTTTCTGTCACTATGAGTCGGTACCTAACAACATCAACAACAAGCAAGGAGCCCTGATGGCGTTGTGGGAGAAGCACTGGGCTGCTAACCTAAAGGCTAGTGGTTCAAACCCACCAGCTATTCTGTGACAGAAAGATACCGTTGTCTGTTTCTGTAAAGATTTAGTCTAGGAAAACTCTAAGGAGCAGTTCTCTCCTCTCCTATAGGGTCTCTCTGAGTCAGGACCGATGGATGGCAGTGGGCTGGCGCCAGCTTCACAAACTTTCTGACTCCCCTCTGACTTCCTCAGAGCCGTTAGGAACTTGCATTCTTCCTCCGCAGAGATTTCATAAATGTGGCTATTGTACACACTGCCCTCATTTCCTGGCAAGAGCTTCATAAAAGCAACTTAAACTCTGCCAGCTGCTTTCTGGTTTGGGTTTGGGTCTCTGACAGAAACCTCGGACAATCAGTCAGGGTTCCTTTTTTACTTGAAGAACTCTTGACTGTAATGCATCCAAGCACAGAGAAGCCACTGCCAATGTCAGGGACAGACATTGAGGGTGTACATGGGGCTGTCGTTTATAACACAGGCATCCATCTCGCTTTTGTAAATAGAACTTACACTTTTATGGGTTTTTTTTTTCTCTTTATAAAAGTCATAGCTAGTCTTTGTGGAAAACTTAGAAAATACAGTAACATAAAAGGAAAAGAAAAATTACTTATGACAATATTGATTATCACTTAACATTTTGACATTAACTGGTCCTTCAAGTGTTTTGGGTATTTTTTTTGTGGGAGGGGTTAATGGAGTTTGTATAGACTCTTTAAGGAATCCTGGTGGTATAGTGAGTTAATCATTGGGCTGCTAACCACAACTTCGGTGGTTCAAACCCACCAAATAATCTCATCTTTAATCAGCAGATAACCTCATCTTTCTCCCATTGGTTGCTCAGTGGGAGAAAGATGAGGTTATCTGCTCCTACAAAGAATTACAATCTCAGAAACTCTGTGAAGCAGTTCTATTCTGACCCATAGGATTACTATGAGTGTGAATTGAAGTGAGGGCAGTGGGTTTTTATAGGCTACTTCAAAGGAACCCTGGTGGCATAAGTAGTTAAGCATTCAACTGCTAAGCAAGTGGTCAGCAGTTCAAACCCACCAGGCACACCATGAGAGAGATGTGGCGGCTCTACTGGGTCCTACTGGCTCATTATGAGTTGGAATTGGATCGATGATAATGGGTTTTCTCTCTTTTTTCAGTTGGGCTTAGTCTCCTTTCAGGAGCTCTGGTGGTGTCATGGTTAAGTGCTTGGCTATTAACCAAAAAGTCAGTGGTTCAAACCCATCAGTGACTCCATGAGAGAAAAGATGTGGCAATTTGCTCCAGTAAAGGCTATAGCCTACGAAATCCTTTGGGGACGTTCTACCCTGTTTTATAGGGGCACTATGAGTTGGCATCGACTTGACGGAACACAAAAGCAACAATATAGTCTCTTCTAATCTGGAACATCATGAGGTTTTCCTTGTCTTTAATTTTACTGAGGCACACAGGCATGCATCCCATAATGTCTGTTCAGGCAACGGCCGATCCCATATATGTCTGTGGCCCCATAATTCTTTAATTTTAATTTTTTAAAGGGAACGTGCTCTCCTTTTGTTTATTTCCCTTAATGGCTTTAATCATTACTCATCTGTCAGTTTGTCATATTGTGGTGTCTTGGGTGACGCTGAAACTAAAACCACTGACATGTTAAATACCAGGAGGGTCACCCATGGTGGTTACCCATGGTGTGCAAGTGGGAAGTTTACAGAGTAAGACAGACTAGGAAGAAAGAAAGGCAGACAGCTTCTGAATGGTTAGTTACTGAAAATTTAACGAATAGCAGCATACCATTGTCAGGGGTAGGGCCTGAAGATGAGCCCCTCAGGGTGGAAAGCGTTCAAATCATGACTGGGGAAGAGCTGCCTCCTTAAAGTAAATTGACCATAATGACATGAATGGAGTAAAACTCTTGGGACCTTCATTTGCTGATGGGGCACACCTCAAAATGAATAGAAACAGCTGCAAACATCCATTAATAATCAGAGCATGGAATGTAGGAAGTATGAATCTAAGAAACTTGGAAGTTATCAAAAATGGAATGTAATGCATGAACTGAAATGGACTGGTACTGGCTACTTTGATTCTGAAAATCCTATGGTTTACTATGCCATTAAGAACGGATTCAAGAGAAATGGTATTACATTCATCATCAGAAAGAAAGTTTCAAGAGCAATTTTGAAGTCTGTGATAGGATAACATCCATACGCCTCCAAGGAAGACCAGATAATACCACTAGTATTCAAATTTATGCACCGATCCCTAAAAAATTCTACCAACTTCTTTAGTCTGAAATTGATCAAACATGCAATCAAGATAGATTGATAATTATTGGTGTTTGGAATGGGAAGACTGGAAACGAAGAAGAATCAGTAGTTGGAAAATATGGCTTTGATGATATTTCTCATGATAGAGTTTCGCAAGATCAATGACCTATTCATTGTAAATAAGTTTTTAAAACAACGTTAAAACATCATAAACACATGAAAATCACCAGTTGGAATACACAGGAATCAAACTGATTACATCTCTAGGAAGCCAACAGTGAAAAAACTCAACATCATCAGCCAAAACAAGGCCGGGGCAGATTGTGAAACAGACATTAATTACTCATCTGCAAGTTCAGACTGAAGCTGAAGAAAATTCACACAAGTCCATGAGAGACAAAATATGACCTTGAACACATCCTACTTGAATTTAGAGACCATCTCAAGAGGCTTTCTAATTTCAGGTCTTTGCACATTTCTTTATAATACTTGACTTTGCCTTCTCGAGCAACCCTTTGAAATTTTCTGTTCAGCTTTTACTTCCTCATTTCTTCTATTACTTTAGCATAGAGAGCAAGTTTCAGATTCTCTTCTGACATCCATATTGGACTTTCCTTCTTTCCTGTCTTTTTCATGACCTTTTGCATCCTTCCTGTATGCTCTTATTGATGTCACTCTACGAATCTTCTGGTCTTTTGTCATTAGTGTCTAATACATCATATCTGTTCTTGGTATGACCAAGTTCATAATAATCTCAAAGGAGAAAAAAAAATCTTGTAAAAAAAGCAAAAACAACAACAACAAAAATAAATTTTTGTGTGTGTACTTAGCTGTACTATAAGTAGTTGGTTTGTATGAGATGGTTAAAAAAGGCCAAAGATAAAAGGTTTCTTTTCCTTTCTTTTGTCTATGAAGTTGTTGTTTATTTATTTAGTTATTGGCCTGTTTTGATGTATGTGTGAAAGATCGTTTGTTGTCCAACAATAAACCGGAATTTTATTTTGCTGAGTTGTTCTAACAACAACAACAAATGAAATGGAATGCATAAACATCAATATTCTAGGCATTAGTGAGCTGAAATGGACTGATGCTGGCCATTTTGAATCTGACAATCACATGGTTTACTATGCCAGGAATGATAAATTGAAGACGAATGGCATTGTATTAATCATCAAAAAGAACATTTCAAGATCCATCTTGAAGTACAATGCTGTTTGTAATAGGATAACATAAAGATGCTTACAAGGAACACAGTTAATACCACTATTATTCAAATTTACATGTCAACCACTAAAGTCAGTGATGATGAAGTTGAATTCTACCAACTGTATCAGTCTGAAATTGATAAAAAAAAATTGGAATGCAAAGGTTGGAAACAAAGAGGAAGGATCAGCTGTTGGAAAATATGGCTTTGGTGATAGAAATTATGCTGGAGATTGCATGATAGAATTTTGCAAGACCACAAGGAACTCTGGTAGTATAGTGGTTACGAATTGGGCTACTAACTTCAGGGTCAGCAGCTCGAAACTACCAGCTGCTCTGCAGGAGAAAGATGAGGCTTTCTGCTCCTGTAAAGATTTATAGCCTCGGAAACCCTGTACAGGGTCATTATGAGTTGGAACTGACTCCATGGCACATAGCCACCACCACCACCATCAATGACTTGTTCGTTGCAAACATTTTTTTAAAACAACATAAAAAAAAAAACAAAAAAAAACTATACTCATGGTCCTCACCAGATGGAATACACAGATATCAAATTGACTACATCTGTAGAAAGAGACCATGGAAAAGCTCCGTATCATCAGCCAAAACAAGGCCAGGGGCAGACTGTGGAACAGACCATCAGTTGCTCATATGCAAGTTCAGGCTGAAGCTGAAGAAAATTAAAACAAGTCCATGAGAGCCAAAAAATGACGTTGAATATATCCCACCTGAATTTAGAGATCATCTGAAGAACAGGTTTGATGCATTAAACACTAAAGACTGAAGACCATAAGAGTTGTGGGATGACATCAAGAACATCATACAGGAAGAAAGCAAAAGGTCATTAAGATGACAAGAAAGAAGGAAAAGACCAAAATGGATGTCAAAAGAGACTCTGAAACTTGTTCTCCAGCATAGAGATGCTAAAGCCAATGGAAGAAATGAGGAGATAAAAGAGTTGAATAGAAAATCTCAAAGGGCAGCTGGAGAAGACAGTCAAGTATTTTTATGAAACGTGAAAAGACCTGGATCTAGAAAACCAAAAGGGAAGAACACACTCAGCATTTCTCAAACTAAGGGAACTGAAGAAAAAAAATCAAGCCTTGACTTGCAATATTCATGGACTCTATGGGTAAAATATTGAATTATGGCAGAAAGTACAAAAAAAAGAAGATGGAAGGAATACACAGAGTCACTGTACCAAAGAGGAATGGCTGATGTTCAACCATTTCAAGAGGTAGCATATGATCAAGAGTCAATGATACGCAACTCTAGGTGGGGCTGATGAAAGGAGATGCGAATGGGTCTCTTGTGATACAATAGTGAATAGTTATCAGGACTGATTGTGAGGGTTGGGAATGTAAAAGTAGATGTTTTGTAGCAAAAGGAGGGGAGTGATTAACTTTGCAGTCTAGGAGAGGAGGTCACTGGGACCACCAAGGGAGAACAGCAGAGAGCGGGACCCTACCCAGAGAAGCAGTGACACCAGAGATGGAGGCAGAGACAATGACATGGAGAGATGGAGTGGCTGGGGACTTTAGACCCAGAGAGGGAGAGGGGTTGTGTGCTGATGAATGGGGAGCAGGCTCGCAGGGTGTGTACCCTTTGTTTGGTTGATGATGCATGGAGGGAATTGTAGCCATGTCAAGGAAACCATTAGCTTTACATAGGATAAATGTAAAGCTAATGTTCTCCCATATCACATAATTCAGAATAAAACATTAAAAATAAATAAAGAAAAATAGAGCGGGGAATAGAGATAAATATTGTTGGCTGACGGTACATGGAGCGGATTGTAATCATTGCAATGAAACAAAATATTATTTATTGAATGTAAAATTGATAATCTGCCCTGTAAACTTTCACTCAATTCACAATAAAAACTTAAAAAATTAAAAAAGGGGGTCAATGATACTGAAGGAAGAAGTTCAAGGTGCACTGAAGTCATAGGCAAAGAACAAGGCCCTGAAATTTGATGGAATACAAATTGAAATCTTTCAACAAACTGATACAACACTGGAGGCACTCACTCATCTATAAAGAAATTTGGAAGCAGCTATCTGGACAACTGATTGGAAGAAATTCATATTTGTGCCCATTCCACCCAGTGGAATGTAAAAATCATCAGACAATATCATTATTATTGCATGAAAGTAAATTTTGCTTAAGGTAATTAAAAAATGACTTCAACTGTACATTGATAAGGAACTGCCTGAGATTCAAGCCAGATTCAGACCAGGACATGGAATGAGGGATAGCATTGCTGTCGTCAGATGGATCTTGGTTGAAAGCAAAGACTATCAGAAAGATGTTTATTGGTGCTTTCGATTGTGTGGATCATAACAAGTTATGGGCAACATTGCGGAAAAAGAATAGTTTGGAACATTTAATTGTGCTCATGAAGAATCTGTACATAGATTAAGAGGCAGTTGTTCAAACAGAACAAGGGAACACTGAATGGTTTAAAATTAGGAAAGGTGTGTGCTAGTGTTATATTCTTTCACCATACTTATTCAATCTGTATGCTGAGCAAATTATCTGAGAAGTTGGTTTTATGAAGAAGAACATGACATTAGGATTGGAGGAAGACTCATTAACAACCTGTGATATGCATATGATACAACCTTGCTTGCTGAAAGCAAAGAGGACTTAAAATACTTACTGATGAAGATCATAGATCACAGCCTTCAGTTTGGATTGCACCAATCCCTGGAGAAGGACATCATGTTAGATAAATTGGAGGATCAGTGAGAAAGAGAATGACCCCAGTGAGATGGATTCACACAGTGGCAGCAGCAATGGGCTCAAGTGCAGGAATGATTGTGACCAGGCTGTGTTTCATTTTGTTGTGCAAAAAGTCGCTATGCGTAGGTATCAATTTGACAGAACCTAATAACAAGAATAATGGCCAAAATATTGAATAATGAAGAAATAATGAAATAATCAAAAGAAAATGGAAGAAATAATGAAATAATCAAAAGAAAATGGAAGGAATGCACATTTATACCAAACATAAATGGTTGATGTCCAACCATTTCAATAGGTATCATATAATCAAGAACCAACGATACTGAAGGAAGACGTCCCAGCTACACGAAGGAATTGGCTCAAAACAAGGCTCCAGGAGTTGACCTAATATAAATTGAAATCTTTCAACAAATTGATGCAGCCCTGGAGTTGTTCATTTATGCCAAGAAATTTGGAAGACAGTTGCCTGGCCAACTGAATGGAAGAGATACATATTTGTATCCATTCCAAAGAGAGGTGACCCAATAGAATGCAGAAATCATCAAACAATATCATTAATATCACATGCAAATAAAATTTTGTTGAAATAAATTTAAAATGTCTGCAACAGTACATTGACAGGGAAGTGCCAGAAATTTAAGCCAGATTCAGAAGCTGTGGAACTAAGGGTGTTATTGCTGGCATCAGATGGGTCTTGTCTGAAAGCAGAGAATACAAGAAAGATGTTTATTTGTGCTTTATTGACTATGCAAAGGCTTTTGACTATGTGGATCATGACAAACTATGGATAACATTGCAAAGAATGAGTATTCCAGAACACTCGATTGTGCTCTTGAGAAACCTGTACATAGGCCAAGAGGCAGTTACTATACTAGCATAAGGTGATACTGAATGGTTTAAAATCAGAAAAGATTTTATCAATCTATATGCTGGGTATATATGCTGATCTATATTCTATGAAGAAGAATGTAGCATCAGGATTGGAAGAAGACTCATTAATAACTTGGGATATGCAGGCGATGCAACCTTTTTTGTTGGAAGCAAAGAGGATTTAAAATACTGATGAAGTTCAATGACTACAGCCTTCACTATGGATTGCACCTCAATGTAAAGAAAACAAAAAGATTGAAGTTGTCAAGAGCTTTAATTTACTTGGATTCACAATTAATGTTCATGGAAACAGCAGTCAAGAAATCAAACAACTGCGCAAGACCTCTTTAAAGTGTTCAAGAGCGAAGACAAAGGTGTGTGTGACTCAAGTCATGGTATTTTCAATTGCCTCATATGCATGTGAAAGTTGGACAGTGAATAAAGAAACAGTAGGAGAATTGATGAATTTGAGTTCATAAACACAAATTTGTTGGAGAAAAATATTCAAAGTATCATGGACTGCCAAAAGAACAAACAAGTCTGTGTTGGAAGAAGTACTCCTTAGAAGCCAGAATGGTCAGAGTACGTCTCTCACACTTTGGACATGTTATCAGCAGAGACCAGTTCCTGGAGAAGGACATCATGCTTGGCAAAGTGGAGCCTCAGTGAAAAAGAGGAACCTGCCCCCAACAAGCTGGGTTGTCACAGTAGCAGTAGCAACAGGCTTAATTGTGAGGCTGGAGCAGGACTGGGCAGTGTTTTGTTCAAGTGCGCACAGGTTTGGTAAGAGTCGGCACCAACTTGAGGGCACCTAACAACATCAACAATCGTTTTAAAGACCCTGAGCTCCCTGAGTGACTGAGCAGGGGGCTTCCAGAATGCATGTTCCTCTTGTGCTTCATCTTCCTCCTCCTCCCGGCTTCATTCCCCTACCAAACAGCCTCCTGGTGCAGGGGAGCACCCTCATGGCTCTTCCAGTCCAGCCGTGTGGTGGTGGTAGCACACCTGGCTGGCCCGGGGGCACTTTGGGGCTCCTGGTGGCAGTTGCACATGATTAGGAAGCGACAGCACCCACAGGCTGGCAGTACCTTCACTGCCAAGTGCACCAGCAGCCACTCCCAGCACCAGCAGCCCAGGTCCCCTCTCCATATTCCCTGAAGCTCACCTGCCCTGCACCTGGAAGTGAACCAAGTCCCCATCTGGCTTCTGGTCCAGCAATACACCCAGCAAGCTTGAACTCATGTATCCAGTGGATACGACTCTCGTGTTTTGTCCAGTGGGCTCACATAAGGTTTTAATATAATAGGCTCTCGGGGGGTTAATTTTGGATTGTACAGGGGACTTCCTATATCTATTATGGTGTTCACACAACATCCAAATCATATAACGTCCTATTTCACAGAATGCATCATGGACGTTAAGTGACACATACCTGCAATTCACATGGAATCTCTGAACAGTGCAAACAGTCAACACGTTTTATTGCTAACCAAAAGATTAGCGCACTCTTCAGAGGTGCTTCAGAAGAAAGGCCTGGAGATCCACCATGGAACATCCATGGGGTCAGCATGAGTCAGAGTCAACTTGATGGCAACTGGTTTTAATGTCAATAGCGCCAGGGTTAAGAGGCCCTTTGCTAGTTGAGCCCACTGGGTGCTCCCACCTGATATGCAGTTCTGCCAAAGTCCTGCAGGCTCTCACTGCACTCAGCACATGGTTCACCCCGGATGTAGAAAGTCCGTTATCACTGAGGCTGTGGAGAGGATAGAGAAGGCAGCGTTGGCAAGCAGCTGATGGCCAGCCCAGGCAGTTCCAGCTCCTCCTGTGGCTCTATCTGTGGTTTATTGGCTGTCAAACTTGGGATGTTCCCAGATTCCTAACCAGGGGCTCTCAAACAATTCTAGTCCATGCTGGCAAGCTGAAGGGCATGACCTCCTCCCCCACTCACAGAAAATGAAGTTCTAGAGCTGGTGTGGTAAAAATCCCCTCACTGTTTTCACCTCTCTGGCCTCAAAGTAATCACGTTTACCAATCACTGATTGTGTCAGGCTCTGTACATACATAGTCTCATGTCATCCCATTTTACAAATAAGGAATCTGAGACCCAGAGATGCTGAATCATTTCGCCAGGATCACAAAGCTACTAAGTGACAGAGTCAGGTTTCCAAACCACAGCCAAGGCCCTGTACCCATTGTTGTCCAACCTCAATACACCCCATCTCAACCTGTATTTTTACCCCCCAATGCCTCCTGATGCTTAGTCAACTTCCTGTGCTCAGGTAATGTGTCCTGGTCTAGCCAGCTTCTACTCATTGACCTTAGCTGTGATCAAGCTTAGGAACCATAAACAAAAGCCAAATTGACTCATGGAATGGGTTTCCACCCCTCACAGATGCAAACTAGTACTATTCAATAGAACAGGAATTCACAATGTGATTCTAATAAAAATTTGCAATGCAATAAATACGTGTAGGCACTACATCTACAACATCCAAAACAATATGACAAAAGGAAAACTTTAGATACTCGTATTATATAATTTCAAGCTCCAATAACTAAGGCAATATAGTATTAGCATAAAACACTCAAATTGAGGAAACTGACTAGAGAGCTCAGAAATAGATTAGGATTGCTATGAGATTGCATTAAACATTATCTAATGGTGGCGGTGAGGATCTCTGGTAGCGTAGTGGTTACGAGTCAGGCTGCCAACTGCAAAGTCAGCAGTTAGAAACTACCAGCGGTTCCATGGGAGAAAGATGAGGCGTTCTGCTCTCGTAAAGATTTATAGCCTCAGAAATCCTGTACAGGGTTGCTATGAGTTGGAACCGACTCCACGGCACATAACGACAACAACAATGGTGGCGGTAGCTCAACTGAAGAACTCCTACAACGGCGGCAATCACTGTGGTATAAAACATTGCATTGCAAATGTTACCACCAACCTGCTTTTAAGATCCCAACATGTCCTACCCAAACTCAACCCTCACCCTACACAACACCCCAGCACACTCTCCTTGTCATCCCATCACCCAATGACCCAACCCTTTACTTCAACACTAACTCCCCCATTCTAGCACACCACTTTCCACCCCAACAGCCTAACCCAATACGCCAGTACCCATCTACCCCAATATTCCAACAGTGTCCCAGTGCAATACCACAGGGCTGTCACAAGGACAGACTAACTGGGACACAAGCCACTGGTCTACAGTGAACACCATAGACTGGTCTACATGCACAAGAGGTTTTTACAGTTGGAACTAAGGCAGTGGCAAGGCCTGATCAAAGCACTCCAGCTTTTTGGGAGAGAATAGAGTGATCTACACTATTTCTGGGAAGATTTCTGTTTTTAGAGAACTTGGTAGTATTCTTTCTGGTGATTGTGGCATTGAATCAGGTGTCAGGGGCTAGCTGGGGTTCCCTGTTACCCAACAGTGGGCGGGGTAACTTACTCCAGCTTCCTGGTGATGTGCAGTTGGGATGCAGCCTCCGCCATCAGCCGACAGCCTTCATCTTCCAGCTGGTTCCCTGAGAGGCTGAGACAGAGGGGCTGACACTGTGGGGCTGGAGTACCTATATGCATGCCCCCAGCACTCACCTGCTCTCTCATCAATGTTTGTCAGAGCAGCACTCAGTAAATGAATCTTAATAATAATGGATGCTGAGAGACGCTGCCTACACTGTCCTAGGGGCTTTTACAATGATCAGCACACGAATCCTCACAACAACCCTATGAAGTAGGCACTAGTTTATACCCATCATAATGATGAGTAAGCCAAGGCACAGAGTGGTTACGGCTCAAGAGTGGACCTGGGATTTGAACCCAGGAAGCCTGACTTCAAGGCCCCTCCCTCAACCTTTCCTTTATGCTGCAACCTACATGATGTAAATATCATGAAGGAAAAGTAGAGGAGGGCTGTGATTGTGCACTGTAGGGGCAACTGACCTAGTCTGGGTGTCAGGGAAGGTTCCTATTGATGTAGGAACTGCTCATTGGGGGAAAAATTAGTTGAATGGGAGAGAGATAGGGAGAACGCATTCCTAGCAGTGAGAGCAACAGTAACAACACATTCAAAGGCCCTGTGGCACAGTGCATTTGAGGGACTGGATTAAAGATAAGCAGGAGAGTAGGTCTGATGGGCCTGAGAGACAGGTTTGGGGCCACGCAGCGTTTTTAGGATTTGGAGTTTATCCTATGCAGTGGGGAGCTAGCAGTGAATCCTGATCAGATTTGCATTTTGAAAAGTTCACTCTGCTGGATGAAGGGGTTAGGTAGAAACAGGGAAACAAGTTAGGAGGCTGATGGGGTCAGGCAGGTGAGAGATAAAGCTTTGGACTAGGATGCAGGATAAAAAGGGAATGGAGAAAGAAGATGGTTTGGGAGCTGCTTCGGAGTTAAGTTGACTGGGCATGAACTGGCTCTGAGCGGCACAGCAGGACCTCAGCCAATCCCCTAATCCTGTTCTCTAGACTCTGCCCAGGAACTGGGAATCATGGGAATTTCCCCAGCCCACAAGAAGGGTATTCCATTCCATTCTGGGAGAATACAGAGAGGGAGGGGACTCTGGGAGTCTGGGGGCTAGAGAACAGACCCAGGTATGGTGGGGCTTAGCTATTTCTACTTAATAGATCTCAATAGTAGGAGTTACAGGGATTCTGAGGATGGGGCTGGAAATTAAACTGTGTGGGCATGAATCCTGGTCTGGTTTCTTCCTACTAGTGATATCTTGAGTAGACTTGTCTCTGTGTGGTTTAATTTCCTTTTCTACACAGCATGAATAGTAATAGCATTTACCCTTTAGGGTTGTGAGGATAAAATGAGATGATATATATATATAAACCCCTACCCCAGTGCCCAGACTTCTGGTGTGGCACTGTAGGATAAGAACAGGACTGCAAGGTCGGTTTGAACCACAAGGCCAGTGGTTCAAACTCACCTGTTGCTCCTTGGAAATCCTAAACTGAGTCACTATGAGTCAGAACTGACTCAGTGGCACTTAACAACAGCATCCCAGGGCCCAGCATAGGGCAGGTGTTCAATAAGTGGGAACTGCTATAATGACCCGATTTCCCCCAGTTCTTAGTGAGTAGCATGCCCCTCTCCGTTCCCTTTCTGCTTCCCTGGATTTCTCTGCACCACCCTCCTATCTCCAGCCCTAGGATGGCCCAGGCTACTCACTCCACTTCCTCCAGGCAGGGGCCGTCCCTGAGCAGGGCTATGAGTGTCTCCACATTGTAGACCTGGAGCTGATACTTGTGGAGCCTGGGGTGAAGGGAGAGGTGGGGAACAGAGGGCCTCAGGGCAACGATTTGCACCAGGGCCCTTCTTGTTCAGAGTGTTAGTGCCAGGTGTAGGAGCTGGGGGCGGTCAGCAGCAAACAGACCTGGAATCTAATCTTAGCTCCACTCCTTAGTAGCTGAGGATCTTGGACAAGGTATATAACCTGTCTGAGTCTCAGCTTCCTTCTCTATCAAATGGGAGTAATAATGTGCATTGCACAGGACTTTCAAAAAGGAGTACAATGAGGTAATGGGTAAAAACATTTAGCTCAGTGTCCAGCAGATAACAAGAGCCCAACAATGATTATTGTTCAGGATCTCTGGTAGCATTAAGGAGCTCTGGTAGTGTAGTGGTTATGAGTCAAGCCACTAACCTCAAGGTGAGCAGTTCAAAACTACCAGCTGTTCTGCGAGAGAAAGATGAGATTTTCTGTTCTTGTAAAGATGTATAGCCTTGGAAACCGTGTACAGGGTCACTGTAAATGAGTCAGAACCGACTCCACGGCACACCACCACCACCATTATTATTATAATTACTGCTATGACAGCTGCTTCTTATTCAAGTCAAAACAGATTATTCATGTCTTTGTTCTGTCCCATGTCTGCATTCTCCTTGTCTACCCTGCCCTGCTCTTCTTGGGAAAGACATCACCCCCCAACATCATATTCCTCCCCATAAGGCACTGGATGCCATTGAGATACCTGAGTGTCAGGCTTCGGGTCTGTGCCTCTTCCTTCTGGCTGGCATTTACCTGCAGGTCTGGGGCTCTGTCAAGAACAAATCAAACATTGCTATGGGTGCAGGGATCCAGGATATGATGGATCAAGCCTCTTCCCTTGGCTCTAGGGGCTGAAAACCCTATAGCAAGCCCTACAGCATGAGCCACAGCAAATGAGCAGCAGTTCCTGTTATGTAAAGTTGTTCAAGATGCTGTTCAACAAAGCAGCAGGAGTGCAAGCTTTGAGGTCAAACAGAACCCTTGTGTGGCTTTGTGGCCTTGAGAAAGATACTTCATCACTGTGAGCTTCCTTTTCTAAAATGAAATGACAATGTATATCTACTGCAAAGAGTGGTTGAAGGTTGAACGAGATGATGTATGGGCAAGCACCCCGCATAGGTACAAAATTGAAACTTAGCAAAAATGAGTTTCTGCTGTCTATGATGTAGTAGTTACCACTGGCTGGTATGCCGTAGATGGGTCAGAAAGCAGGGAGCATGAGCCATTTGTGAGTCTAGACTGTGAGAAACCCCCAGCACCTCCAGACTCCCCACCAAGTCTGAGCACTGCAGGGAAGCTAGGGCTCTGTGAGCTAAGGCTTCACAGACCTTCAGATTTGTGCGATCAGCAGAACTTTCTGCAAAGATGAAAATGTTCTATATCTGTGCTGTCCACTATGGGATTCCCTAACTACCTACCTGCAGCCACTGAGCACTTGGGATATGGCTAATGCAACTGATGAATGGGAAATTTCCATTAATTTTGATCAACTTAAATTTAAATAGCTATATGTTGCTAGAAGGAGCTCTGGTAGCGTAGTGGTTATGAATCGGGCTGTGAACCGCAAGGTCAGCAGTTCGAAACTGCCAGCTGTTCTGCGGGAGACAGGTGAGGCATTCTGCTCCCGTAAAGATTTATAGCCTTGGAAACCCTGTGCAGGGTTGCTATGAGTCGGAACCGACTCCACGGCACTTAACAACAACAACATATGTTGCTAGTGGCTGCTGTCTTGGGCATTGCAACTTTAGGCAGAATGGAAGACATTGTGTTATTGCTGTTAAGTGTCCTTGAGTTGGTTGTGACTCATAGTGACCTTGTATAGGTTTCTGAGGAGCGGCTGGGGGATTTTAACTGCCGACCTTGTAGTTCGTAGTCCAGTGCTTATCTTTGTCATTGTATATGCCAGGAAATTGAGACTAAGAGCAGGGAAAGGGCACACAACACATGTCTTTGAGTCTCAGACAGAGGGGCATGGGGAAGCACAGTCAAAAAATTCTTTCAGGGGAAGGTTGGCTTTCATTTAGTTGCAGAACCAAAACTGGCCAAGGCAAAAACCTGGAAGCCAGGCACAGTTAGAATGCTGTTGTTGAGTTGATTCTGATTTATAGTGACCCCATGTGACAGAGTAGAACTGCCCCATAGGATCTCTTAGACTGCAATCTTTGTAGGAGTTGATTGTCAGTTCTTTTCCTCCATGGAGATGCTGGTGGGTTTGAACACCGACCTTTTGGTTAGTAGCCAACTGCTGAATTATTGCACCACCAGGGCTTTCTATAAAGCCTTTGGAATGTTGTTGTTGTTCAGTGCCATTGCGTCAGTCCTAACCCATAGTGACCCTGTATAGGGTTTCCGAGGAGTGACTGGTAAGCTTGAACCACCACCAACCTTGTGGTCCAAACCGACTTTGCTGTCCAGCACATTAACCCACACCAGGACTCCAGACATTTGGAATAGTCAGTATTTAAATACAAACTGCATGCCAGCAGTGTTCTAAGTACTTTGAATGTATGAATGCATTTAATTCTCAGGATAACTGTAAGATGTAGGTGCCATAGTAACCTATTTTCTTTCATCTGGGAGTTTTTCCCACAAGTGATCCAGCCTAACAATCTCTTCACATCCTCCCTAGATGTTCCCTCTTGTTTTTCAGATTCACTAGAATATGGTAAGGGAGTCCTGGTGTGGCGCTGTATGATAAGCACTGGACTGCTAACCATGAGGTAGGCAGTTCAAACCCATGAGCTACTCTTCAGAAACCTGACACTGGGTCGCTATGCGTCAGAACCGACTCAATGGCACTTAACAACAACAGCAGGAAGAGGTGAAATCCTCTAAGGATTAATGTATGCCTTAGGGCCACAGCAGCAGAAAGAATCCTCACCTTTCAGCTCTTCCCCTGGTTCTCTTGACCTCTCTTCCCCAAACTGCCTGAGTTTCATATTGCAATGTAGGATGGGCCCAGACCTCTCCCCATCCCTGACTTCTTACCCTTGCAGCTCTGTAGATGTCTCTGTGGACGGGGAGAAAAGGAAGATGAACTCCTCTTGCCTGCAGGTCAGACACAAAGCCATGAAACCCATGGATTGGATACCAGTACATCATCCTCACCTGCACATCCCTTCTGCCCCAAATGTCCAGAGAAACAATAGAATTGGAAAAGTGCTTCAAGTCAGGCATGAAAAAAATCATGCCATGGCTTGATGAGTCCTGTAACGGTGTTTTTAAAATGCAGGAAAAAATATACTTTTTAAATAAGAAAGATAAGAAAAATTAGGAATGCTGAAAATTTTTATTGGAATTACTAGTGTTTTAAGATTAAGAGATAACTCTGTCGTCCAAACTGGCAAAGCTGTTTCAGCACCACGGAAAGCAGCACACATGGGCCTTATTCCTTCTGCTGTGCCTATGTGTCCACATACCCACCCATCCATCCATCCATCCATCCATCCATCCACTATTGACTCATTATGTGCCAGGCCTGAGTTGGGCACTCATAAATCTTGCAGATAAGGTATCTCCTCCTTTCCTATGATCCACCTTCCCTTCCCCTCATTTTACAACCCCAAAGGCTAGGATCCCATTCCTTCTGCTCACCTGGCCTGCAATGTCCTGATAGTTGGATACGTGACTACCATCTTTGCCAAGCTAAGTAGGGTTGATACCGAGATGCCGTTGCAGCTCAGGCTGTGGGATTGTGTCAAAGTTGTCAGGAGTGAATCCCCCATCCTGTGGACCCCAAACCTTCCTTGCTCTGCAAGCATTGGGGGATGCATAGAGCAGGGAGCAGGACTAGCCTGGAGGGCAGTGGGGAGTACACTTACTTGAACTTCTGGAGTCTCGGCAGGTGAGGGAGAACCTCCACAACTTTCAGTACCTCTTGGTCCTTGAGCTGGTTGTTCTGCAAACTGCAATGAAACCGAACCCCAGCTCTCAGCACTGAAGTTGGGATACTTGGAAACCCTAGTTAGCAGGTGATAGGCATGAGCATCCCCATGCAGCAAACATAAGACAGAGATCCAGAGAGGATTGGCTACCTGCTTCCTGGCATGCAGCAGGCATAGCTAGGAGGAGAGACCCTCTTCTGTCCTCACTTCTATCCCTATTCAGGCCTGATGGGGGAGTTTCAGCCTGGTGGTCCAAGGACTCCAGATGACTATAAAGACTTCATGATGTGCAATCAAGGGATCCAGTACCTGCTCCCAGGACTTATGTCTGGGATTTTCTTTTGAGTCCTCAGGTGATCAGCCAGAGTCTAGACGAGGAAGCTGAAAGCTCCGCATCCAGTCTCAGCTCCAGCCCTGCCTCACCCAGAGCCCTAGACCAACTAAGCACATGCCTTGCTGACCTCACCTTTCATACTTGTCATACAATCCAGCCCTGCCTGATCCCAGCAAGAGATGAGCTGATGGCTATGCAGGAGATTGAAAGCAATGGCTAAGTGATAAGAGAAAAGATTAAAATGACTCTTGATAATCAATAAAGAAAAGTAAATGCCACCAAGTTCAATATTCCCTAACCTTTGTTCTGACCCAAGTAATCATTGTATAAAGGCACCCAGGCAATGGGATACCTGAGGCTATAGTCAGCACATGCTCCACTCAACAGGTGCTATGTCCTAGTGTCAAGCTGCATCTGCCTGGATGAAGGAGCATCCATTATAAGCCCCATCAAAGTGGTCCTGCCTGTGACCCACTGTGGCCCCATCTCTGTCCCAGATACAGGACAGGAGTGCATTTCTGCCTATGTGCTTGCATTAGTGTTATTTAAATATGTATATGGATCTAAGTGTGCTGCACAAGTGCACACCTAGTAATGTGTGTGTGGGACGTATACCTAAGTGAGTAGGTGAATGTGCATTTCTGTGTAAGTGGGTGCCTGTTTCATGAAGCAAAGGCCTGTGTTTCATGTATTTATGTGCACACACAGGGTCTTACAGTCATTCTTTCTCCCAGGGTCACAGAAAGAGTGGGGAGCTACAAAACTCATGCTCTGCAAAGATGCCCCCAAATCATTACATAAGTACTGCTCTGGGGTCTTTGGGAGGCTTGTGTTTGGATTCTTCCCCACCCAGTTCTTGGGTAGATACCTCCCTTCTCTGGTTTCATTGAAAACCTACTGGTCAATTCTGGATGGACTATGCAGGGCACAATCAGACCCAATGCAAGTCTGGGGTCTGACTCTCCTTCTTGGTCAGTGATGCCCTGTGCAACCACTCACCTTACCTCTTCCAGCTGAGGACAGAGCAACAGAGCCTTCATCAGATGGCTGATGCCTTTGGCAGTTGTCCTACTTCCTGTTAACCTACATGGCGAGCAAAGATGATGAGAAAGAATGGGGATGGGAAGGGAGTAGATAAAGAATCTGCCCTAGGTGGTGCTGAGGTGAGGGAGGAGAGGGCCAGGCTTCCTGGCTGAAGACCTCTCTTGGTTACAAGGCTAGGCTCACCCCAGCTTCCGCAGGCCCTTCATTGTAGGCACACTCCTGGAGAGGGCTTCTGCAAAGACGTCTCCACACTTCCTGCTCTTAAAACTGCCAGGGGGAGAAGTGAGAGGCAGAGGGTCAGAACCTGGCAGGGCTTAGAAGCAGGACTCATAAAACCAGAGCAGAAGAGACCTTCTGATATTGCGACCCATTCCTACCTCTGATGGATGGCACTTAATGTCCTAGTAGCAGTAGTTGCTGTAACAGTAACAAATACGTGTATGGCCAAATCAAAAATCCAAACACACCACCATTGAGTTGCTATCTGGACTCACTGTGATGTCATGTGTGACAGAGCAGAACTGTTTCATTAGGTTTTCTTGGCTATCTAACATTTACAGAAACACATTGCTGGGCCTTTTTTTCAGTGGCACTGTTGGGTGGGTTTAAACTGTCAACATTTAGGTTGGTATGTATGTTATATTTAGTGCCATTGGGTCAGTTCTGACTTACAGCGATCCTGTATAACATTTCCAGTGAGCAGCTGGTAAGTTTGAACCACCGATTTTGCAGTTCAAATTGACTGTAGTTCAGTGCATTAACCCTCAATGCCACACCGGGACTCAAGCGCCACCTAGGGGCTTACATAAGTAACAGTGACTAGTGTGGTGCTGTGGGTTAATGCGCCAGACTGCAAAGCCATTTGAATTGTAAGGTCGGCAGTTTAAGCTCACCAGCTGCTCTCGGAAACGCTATAGTAGGTCGCTATGGGTCGGAACCAACTCGACGGCACTTAACAACAACAACAACAAAGGAGCCCCTGGTGTGATGCTGTGGGTTAATGCGCCAGACTACAAAGCTGTTTGAACTGCAAGATCGGTGGTTCAAGCTCACCAGCTGCTCCTTGGAAACCCCTATACAGGGTCGCTATGGGTCGGAATCGACTTGACGGCACTTAACAACAAACAACAACTAAGGAGCTCTGGTAGCGTAGTGGTTACGAATCGGGCTGCTAACCTCAATGTCAGCAGTTCGAAACTACCAGCTGTTCCATGGGAGAAAGATGAGGCTTTTTGCTCCCGTAAAGATTTACAGCCTCAGCAACTCTTACAGCCTGTACAGAGTCTCTCTGAGTCGGAACCAACTCCACAGCACATAACAACAACAACAACTAGTTGTTAAGGAGCTCTGGTAGGTTAGTGGTTACGAATTGGGCTGTTAACCTCAGGGTCAGGAGTTTGAAACTACCAGCTGTTCCATGGGAGAAAGATGAGGCTTTCTGCTCCCGTAAAGATTTACAGCCTCGGAAACCCTGTACAGAGTTGCTATGAGTTGGAACAGACTCTATGGCACATAACAACAACAACTAATTGTTGGAGGAGAATATTGAAAGTGCCATGGGCTGCCAAAAGAACCAACAGATCTGTGTTGGAAGAAGTGCAGCCAGAGTGCTCCTTGGAGGCCAGGATGGCCAAACTTCATCTCTCATACTTCGGACATACTGTCAATCGCTGGCTGGAGAAAGCTATCATGTTCGGTAAGGTGGAGGGTCAGAGAAAAAGAGAAAGACCCCCAATGAGATGGATTAGCCAAGTGGCAGCATCAATGGGCTCAAGTGTGGCAACAATAGTGAGGTTGGCCTAGGATTGGGCAGTGTTCGTTCTGTTGTGCATAGGGCTGCTATGAGTTGGTACCGTCTCGATGGCATCTAACAACAACAACAACAATGAATTGTCCACCAAAAGCCATTCTGTACTTTGTCCATAGAAATAGCACTACAGCTGGGAACATGGCATTTCCCAGTCATTGTGACCACATGACCATATCCTCACCAATGGAATGTGAGTGGAAGTGATGTATCTGACTTCTAGATCTGAGTTCTAACCTATTGCTTGTGTCCCGTCCATGTGCTCTCTGTCCTGCCCCCAGAGCATAGAAATATCCATGGCCCAGTGCTCATCATTAGCGCAAGATGTCCAAGGAGAGGATGAGACTCTGAGTCCTTGAATGATCACATGCAGCGGAACCATCCTCCCAACCTGGACCACTTACCTCTGGACTTTTCCATCATAGAGAAATCAACTTGTACGTTTCAAAAAAGCACTTATTTGGGAGGTTTCTTTGTAATTGCAGCCCAGTGTTTGCCCAAGCTAATACATGTGTTGAGTACTATGTGGAATGAAGTGTTTGTCACATGCTGTCTCATCTCCTTCTCTCAACTCCCTTAGAAGTTAGATTGAGTAATTGTTTTACTTTAGAGACAAAACAACAACTCCTTGGCCTGAGAAAGGTTAATAACTTGCCCAAAGTCAAACAGCCTCTAGCAGCATAGCCTGAGTCAGAAACTAGGGGGAGGAAGAGCCTCCAGTGGAACCCCAGAAGTCCTAGTGAGGGATGGAGATTCCCCACTCATACCCCAAGACTAGGGGGGCAGGAAGGATTTCTTTTTTTCTGATATTCAGTATTCTTACCCAGTCTCCCTCAGCAGGGTCTATGAGATTCTACCTTCCCAGGTGCCCAATTTGCCTGTAGACCTTCTCCCACCCTTATTCTCACCTGAGATTTTCTATCTGCCCACAGTTCACCAGGGCCTCTAGACAATGTGGCTCCAAAAGGCAGCCCTCAAAATTCAGGTGAATGGGGACATCTCTGTTGCCCAAGATGTTGACCAGGGTGGCCAGATCGGCATAGTTCAGTGGGAAGTTGTAGAAAGACAGTGGGTCATGAAGGCTTTGGGCAACATGTTGGGCCAGATCCAACTCCTGGGTCTCACTCACACAGTGTAACAGTTTCATAACCTTTGGTCCTCTGAACCTGCGGACAGCTAACTTCTTCAATGTCTGCACAACAACAGCCTGTTTGGCACCCACCCACTTCTCATCCTGCTGGGCCAGCTTGCTGAGGAAGGGGCAGCAGGCACGGGATGCCAGACCAGCCAGGAAGGTGGGCAGGTGGTCTTGGAGACACAGCTTAGCCTTGGTCCTCAACACCCAATGGGACTGGAGGGTGACATAGTGCGAGAGCTTGTCTTCATCCACCTTGGGACTGGTCATCAGCTGTAGGGCAGCAAAGAACTCCTGTAGGCTGAGGTGGGCAAAGGCATAACCTGTCTTCTGGCACCCAGGGCCTGTGCGGACACAGAAGGAAGTCAGTAGGTTGTGGGTGGCCCCAAAGGCCATCATGGGTGGAGGAATATCTCCTGTATAGAAGACAACTTCCCCAGCCTCCAGGCCCTTCAAGGCCACCTCACTGAGGTCCAGGAGGCACGTGGTGGGTAAACACTTGTGGGAGCTGAGGGAGAGGACCATCTGTAGGTAGAGCTGTGTGACAGTGGGCAAGAGGGTGGCAGCCTGGCCTGGGGAGGTGCCAGGGAGCAGATGGCGGAGGCAAAGGCAGGCCAGCCTGCACAGCGCGGGCACAGCACACATGCTCCAGAGATGCCTATCTGCCCTCACCTCTGCCAGAGCCACTGCCTGCAACGGCTGATCCCTGAAGAAGTGGCCCACATACTCCTCCACCCGTGGCTTGTCAAAACCCCGTATGTGGACCATAGTTGCCTCCACGGGCAGGCATGTGGGCAGTTTCCCTGGACGGGACGTGGTCATCACCCAGCAGCCAGGTAGGAGGGTCCCTTTACAGAGGCCAGAAAAGAGGGTGAAGGCAGGTCCTGGGGCTTCAGCGTCTCCGGTCTTCCTGCTGGAGCAGGGGTGGAGGGCCTCGTCCAGCCCATCAAAGATGAGCAGGACATGATGTGCGTTCTCCTTCAGGTACTGGAAGACCATGTCAGTTCCCGACTCAGGGCTTAGGTAGAGATCAAAAAGGAGCTGGGGCAGTGTCAGCAGACCTGTGATCAGGTTAAGCTGGCGGAATTCGAAGAGGAACAGGGCCTGGAAGCGGTCCAGTTGGCCATTAGCCCACTTCTGGCAGAGCCAGTGTGCCAGTGTGGTCTTGCCCATGCCTGCGTTCCCCAGGACCACTGTGACTCTCTGGCCCTTTTCTGTATTGGTATTGAAGAGATCCTGGATGCCATCTTCTGCCATGGGGTCTCCTGTAACAGTCTCCTCCTGAGTGTCACAGGGTGTTGTGGTCCGGCTCCGCTGCAGGATTGGGGCGATGTGGAAGGATAGGTACTGTCCTGGCCTGGGGTGCTCAGTGCCATAGCGTTTCTGGGTAGAGGTCCTCAGGAGCTGCAGATATCTCTTGGCCAACTCTGCAGAGGGCAGAGAGGTGGCATGAGGGCAGGAGCCCCTATTCCCCTTGCCACAGTATCAGGCTGCTGAAGCCTCAGCTGTGCATATGGGGTGGGGGGCAAGGATGCAAGAGCACAACCAGAGGGACTTTGTACTACAGAAACCCAGCAGGTTATCAAAACTCCGTTGGCTATTTAAGCTAGGAAGCGAAAAGAGGAAATGGGAATCATGTATGCTTTGCAACAACACAAGTGTTTTACAATTTCCAATAAGATGAGGTTGTGATTGCTGTTAAGTGCTATTGAGTCGGTTCTGGCTCATAGCGACCCTGTATGGGGTTTGAAGGAGCATCTGGTTGGTGTGAACCACTGACCTTGCAGTTAGCAGTCCAGTGCTCCTATAGCACCATATCAGAATCATCCAATAAGATGAGGAGTAGGACGGGAATACGGGCACTTCCTATGCAACGTCTTATTGGAACAACCTCCTAAGGTGTTAAGCGAGTAACAGTGTCCTTCCCTAATGTGTCCCAGATGCCCAGTGGTGACATTCAAGACAGCAACAACCCTTAGTCACAGGTACTGGCCAATCTGGTCTGAGTCCTGCTGAACCAAATCAGCAGGACTCTCCCATGCTGAATGCTGGTGGCCCAGGGGAAGGGCTAAGGATAGTGCCCTGTTTCCTATAGATGTGCATTCTCTAACCACTTGCAAACATTCTAGAGGGGCAACTGTCTGAGAAGGAGACAGGTTCTGTTTTCTCTATGCCCACTGGCTGATCAGTCGTCAGCAGCTCCCTATGTCTCCCAGGGACTCCCAGGCCTCAATCTTGGGGATTTCTCTCAGGTACCCTCATCACTCCCCACTGCATTCTAGCCCATGAAGGCCCCGGCTTGTGGTCATGCTGGTCACTATCCTGGGATCCCCTGAGCTATTTCTGAAGAAGTTCTCTTGTGGGGTAACTGACAGTGGGGCCCACTCAGGCCCTCCAATCCTTCTTTCCTAGAAGCTCAGAAGGCAAGACTCACTGGGCATCCAGTGGTTTGGTAGCAGGGGACAGAACCCAAGATCTGTGTTGTGTCCCCAAGGCAATCCAATTCCCATGTCCCAGATCTCTCCCCACCTTGGTACCCATCCAGCTCCCTACTGTGCTTCTTGCGAGGAAGGGACCAACAGCTCTGATGAGGCCGCTTGAGGCCTGAAAAGAGAGAAGAGAGGAGATGGGTGAGGACTGGGGGCGGGGTATGAGGAATACCCAGCATCTCAGGGGAGCTCCATCCTCAAACTTCCTCAAACAAGGCTGGCACGTGCATTCACACTTCTGACAGGAGGAAGGTATGAGGAAGGTGTGACTGGAGGAAGGTGTGACTACAGGAAGGTGTGACTGAGGAAGGTGTGACT